CAGCTTCCTCCACAAGGTGAAAGCTTGGCTTGGTAATCTAATGGAATGTGTCCTCTTAGAAAATAAAAATAATTTCTGTCTGATTTTCTAAGGACACAAAGCTTACACAACAGTATTATGTATCCATCCATCCATCCATCCATCCATCCATCCATCCATCCATCCATCCACTCCTCCCTCCACAGAGCATTCTACCCACCTTGGCAAAGGAATTCTATTTGAAAAATAAGCCAGGAAGAAGAGAGTTGAATTAATGCCTCCCCAGAGAGAAAACCTGCTGTTATGTGTTCTGTTTGATCTGGGGCACATACCTTGGCAGTGAAACCCCAAAGCACATGCTGCTCCTGGCAGGCAATAGTGAAGGGACAGGCAGAAGGTAGCAGTACTGGGAGGACTTTGTGGTGATAGACAAGGTGACAGACACTCCTTTAAGTGAATCTGAAAATAAGGACAAAACCATGTAGAAATTTGTAGAAGCTTTGCAAATTCTGCTGTTCTTGAAGCAAGACTCTTTTCCTTTTTTTCTTCTTTTTTTTTCCAGTCACCCAAGACCAATTCCCTTGGCAGCACAGCCATTATTTGGAAATTTCCATAACTCTTCACATGAGATATCTTCTGTTTCCACAATGTCTGTGTGGAGGCTCCAGGCCCACCCACCGGATTTGGTTCTTGCACCAAACCCAGCTTGGTAAGTGGTTTCCTCTTTCTTCTTTTATCCAAGCAAACCCTTTGCCAGAGGTCAGTCACTGCGTCTTTACAGACATCCACACTTTTTTTTGTTCTTGTACTAGTTCTTGGGACAATTGCAGACTCTACTGAGAGCTTTCAGATTTAACTATTTATTTGCATAGTGCATTGGGCTTGATAGGGAATTTTTCTCATCATAGCAGGGGCCTGCAGGCTGAGTTTCACCCTGGCCATTCTGAAGGGATGCTTTCACCACATCCTGGAAATTTGTCTTCTTTGTGTCGAGATACTGCTGCTAGTGCCAACAGACATCTATGGAGCTGCAGGGATACCCAGAACGGCAGCTGTAGGGAAGGCTGTGGCCAGACCACAGGGGTGTCTGCATCCACAGCAGATTACTTTGAGAGAAAAGGAGGTGAGAGAAGGAGTGATGAAGTCCATATGGGAGGGTGGACAGCTGAGGGTGAGCAAAGTGGATCTGCACTGGCTAAAAACCCTGCCTGGTGCCTGCAACATGGGCACGCAGCCTTTGGGTACTTTTGGTTGTAGCAACGTGCGACACAGACAGGCAGGCTTGATGAGGCCTCGCTCTGAGCCCCCTTCCTACCTCTGAAAGGGCTGCCCCTTCCCCTGCAGGGTACTCCATGCACATGTGCCTATGAATGTGCACACATGTGCCTGTCTGTCTCCCTGTGTGGAGGAGCAGCGTCAGGATCTCCCAAGCAAGTAGTGAACTTCAGTGGAAAGAACCGCCTCACTTCCTGCCTGAGGCGAAAGGATTTCTAAAATATAATTCCCCAAAACGTGTGCCAAAAAGTTAATGAGCTTTGCTTCCCCACCACCCCCGCCAAGACACCTCCGCCTTCTTGGTGTGCTTACATGGCAGCTGGTCTCACCACATCTCTGCTTGTCTGCACGTGGCCTTGCCTTGTGAGGTGCCCTTTGCCAGAGAACTAGGTGCTAGGCAGGGAGAAAACACGAGAAAGGGCCTTGGGTTCACCAGAAGTTGTGCTGCCCTGGGCAGGAAGGACACCTAGAGCTGCTTTTGCTGCATTTCCTTCGTCTGGAAACATTCGGGGAGTCTGGGCAGAGACAGTTTTGGGAGCTCCCTGAATAAGCCTTGGCAGGAGGCAGAGCCCAGGAGGTGCCAAGAGCAGCAATAAACCAAGGGGTTTAAAGCAGCATGGGTAAATCCAAGGGCAGCAATATTGGGCCTCTGCCAGGGTCCATGGGAGACTATTGGATGGGACAGCAAGATACACATTCCTCTGCTTCCTTCACAAAATTAAGAGCCTGTCTATAAGGACTTGGGCTGTCCCTCAGCCATCCCTTCCCCTCAGACCCCCTAGGAACAACATGGTCCCCAGCAGGAGCAGGAAACCTGCAGTGTCATAGCCCAAGAGGTCAGAGCCTGATGGACAGATACAGAAGTCATCTGAGCCTGGGGAAGTCGTGTGGACTCAAAGAAAACAACTAATCCTTAAAAAGGCTTGGGTAGTTTGGCTGCTGCTCATCCCCCAAAGGCAAGACATGAAAGGTCTCAAACAGAAGATCCAAACTGCGTAGAGCTTCTTTTGAAACAGTGCTGCTGTATTGAATCCCCACCACAGCTCGCAGGGGCAATGTCCAGACATGTTGCAGTTACTCTCAAGCCATTTGGCTGAGGAAAACTGAGGCCATCTCTGCTCCCTTGGAAGCAGAACTTTCCCTCTCTGCCTCAGGGCTTTGCTGGGGTACAGGCAGGAGCAGTGCCTTGGTATTCAATCAGATAAACTATGCAGCTCTTCCTCCGTCTGACCATCTGCCTGGAGGGCCCCAGCACTACTGGAAGCCCACAGCTAAGGCAGACATAGGAAATCCACTGAGAACAAACGAAATACACCAAAGAGCACCTCCAGAGCTGAGTGTTTTTTCCAGTTCCAAGCAAGCCAAATCTACTCTGGCATCTGGATTTAGAGATTTCCATCCCAGCCCTGCGTAAATGTCATTTTTTGGAGGATTAATCTAGTTGGTTGTGAATAACCCTATTCCCTGGGACTCTACTATGTCTGTGCCTCCTGAGGCTCTCTGGAAAAAGTAGGAGTTTTCTGGGGCACTGCCATCTGTAAGATAAACTGCAGAGAGGAGCATCCCTGAAAGGGGTAATCTTGGGAGCTGCCAGGGACAGGACTGTTGTGGTGGGAAAGGAGTCATCTGGATCTGTCATTTGATCTGATCCCTGCTCTTGTCCTTGCTGCACCTGGATTTGTTTTTAGAAAACATTACTTGTGTCCTGGAGGCACCAGGACCTGTTGCTCCTGCCTGGAAGGGGAACCACAGAAAAACAGGTGGTGACAATCCATCTGGGAAGGGAGAGAGTTTATTTGGAATGGATAGGCCCTGTCCTGTCTCCTTCCATCCTGGGGAGTAAGGGCAAGACTGGATGAGACATGGCTCAGAGCTCCTGGCCAGAGCCCACAGCTTTCTAGGAAGCCCCAAGAGCTAAGTGTCCACTGAGCTAAGGACCTCTGCCCAGAGCCACCCCATAGCACCCAACCAAGTCTGTTCAGCACCCTCTTCTGCCCCACACCAAACAGATGTGTGCTACAACCAGGCACGCCTGCAGCCTTTCCTCCTCCACTTCCCTCCTCCTGATCACTTCTATCCACTTGTCTCTTACAATTTAGCATGTTGTTCTCTGCCTAATGTTTTTCCCCCCAAGTGCCCTACATGGTCCTCCTCTGGGCCATCCACTCCAGCCAGTGACCAGCACACCTCCCCAGGTTACAGCTCCTGCATGACAGGAACTCCCTGCTACTCTCGGTGCACAGGACACAACACACCACAGCCCTGTTCTTGGTTGCAATGGCAGCAGCAAACACAATTAAGAAGACGACAGCATTTGGATCACCTGCTGTCACTGCCCAGAAATGTTTCTCTATAGTGTGGGCAGGCAGACTCAGTCACAGGATTGCTTAGGAATCTCATCTGCAGCAAACTCCTTCTGCCAAGCTGCTGTGTGATGGCATCAATGATCTTGAGCACAAAGACCTCCTCCCACCTCTCAGAGGTCTCTACCCCTGCTCCTCTCAATCCTCCATCAGATCTGGATCCTTCCTGGCTGACTTGGGTCTCTGCCCTTATCTTTGTAACTGCTGAAGTTCCTAGGAGGATCTGAATACTGAAATCACCACTCCTCTCCCTGCCTCTCCCAAATACAAGTTTATTTCAGTGAAGAAACACTGGTTTACAGCTGAGGCTCAAGCTTGCAAGGTATCCCACTTTTTTTTTTTTTCCTTCTCATGTGTTGCCTGCCTTGCAATTTGACAATTTTGGTTTCCATGGTACTGGAAAGGCTACCCTCAACTCTTGCCAGCATGGCCTCAATAATCTTTGGAATGTAAAGCTAATGTCTCTCACGTTGTACATACTCAATCAATGCCCCTTCCAAGTGTACTGGTCTCCTCATTCCCCCTGCACTACAAGCTAGTATTCAGGTGTCTCCTCCTTTGACCAGAAGTCCTTGTATTTGTATGGGGGCACATCAGGGAGATGTGTGACAAACTTCCTCTCCTCGGGCCTCACTGGATATGGCCTTCTGGTCACTCTAACAGTTTATACAGCAGTAACAGGGCATATCCATGGGACTCCCGTGTCTTCACTGCATCTCCAGTTTTGGCTTTATCAAGAATCCAGATTAATCTGCATCATGATGGATTCAAAAAATTTTAAAAAACCCAGTTTTAATAATAAATGTTTTCACACTGATCTCTTCCCCCAGGTGCAGTGTTCCTCACACCGCATCCTCTCCAGGGGCAAAGTGCACAGATGCTTCCCAGGGCCCAAGCTGTGTGAGACTGGGTGGGTAGGGCTAAGGGCATTTTCCCTGGCAGGGTGCACACTGGCAGGCAAAAGAACTGGCTGACCCAGTTCAACAGAGCGGCCTAAACAGCGGAACAGCCTCTAGACGAAGGCGGTTACAAGACCTGATTACTGGAGGTTTCAAAACACAGGGTTACCCAAACACCTGAAACTATGTGTTAATGCAGAGCACAAATTCTTGGCACTGGGGGTGGAGAAAAAACCCCTTAAATACACCTAAAGTTCACAAGAACTGTGTGTCTGATGAAGAACTGCATCATCTGTTAATACACACATAGGCAATTTTCCACTCAGCAAGAAGAACAGATTATACTTAAAGATGGGAGAAAGCCAAAGCGATCCAATGCTTAATGTGCTCCCTTTGCTTCCCTCCTCACAGCAGGGAAACCCAAAACCAAGATAGAAACCCTTTGCAGGCTATTTGAAAAACACAAACACACACTGGATCAGGAGACGGTTTAAAGTGCACACTTTTATTTTCTATTACAAAGGCTATAAGAAGCAAGTTTGGTTTTTTTCTTTATTTAAGAACAAAAACGTTGTTAAAACATCTACATTATTATCCTGATACTAGACCTTATGAAAGATACTAAGTTCTTTTTTAATAGTAAAGCGTGGTATTCTTAAATTATATTAATACAAAGACATATTAAAGGACTCGAAATCATTACTACCCAGCTCAGAACTGCAGCATCCCCTTGCTATCTTTTCCTTTCACTTGCTAAAACCCATCCATTTTTGACATACAGTTTCATACAAGCTAAGCAGGGTATTTTCTGTTGTTGGTTTTTTTTTTCATTTCCCCCTGTAAAGGCCAGGTTAACTCCGATGCCAGCGTCACTTAAATTCCTGCCCCTACCAAAGAATTTGGGAAAAGAGTTTCACTAAGTCCTTCAGCATTTAACAAGTTTCTGCTCTGTGTGAATGTCTGTGGTTATTTTACAGGATATGCAATTTTCTTCTGATGTTACGAAATTACAACATCACTTCTTTTGCTAATAACCCTCAAATTTGGTTCTGCGCTGCAGAATTTTCTTCTCTCACATGAATAAAGAAGAGAGAGTTATCAGAGTCTTGTGAACAAACCACTAACGCAGCCCTACAACTTGTGGTTTATCTGTTGTAGAGCTGTGAGCGCCGAGCAGTTTTGCTGAGAGCACATAGTGTGCTGAAAAAAACCCTCTTGGCTTGATAAAGCGAGCCTGAGAAGTCACGTGTGAACCTTCCTGTCTTTCACAATGTCCCTTTAAATAATATTAGCCAAGCCTTACCTTTAAAACTTTACTCACTAGTTAGCAGTATAATACTCTCTCACTGAGATGGGACTGCGAGGACATCCTAAGGGGTTTCAGAAATGTGAACAGGGAAACCTGTCCCATCTCAAAATTTATACCTATCCATATAAAACCCTCCCCTTTTTTGTTATTTCCCTTTCCCTATGCCAAATGAAACTCTTCATATTTAAACCGGAGATGCTGCGTTTCCTGGCCCGAGTCCTTTTCCTTTACCCTCATTTTAAAAGATTCCTTTGATACCACACACATATAATATTATATAGAGAGATATATTTAATACCTGTGTATATATGCTTCATGGGAGGGGTCACATATATACACACTAAAACAAGTCTGGTGACAAAGTACTGCAACACCACAGACCAGGTTATCATATCAGGGAAAACAAAAAGAGACACTCAACACAACCCCCATGACTGTGGGCCCCTCACCTCACCTCACCTCACACATGCTCTCCCTCTCCCCGCCTCAGCCCCAGCCCAAACCCCCAAAACCTCACTGAGCAGCTTGTCTCTCATTGCAGAGATGGGGAGAGGGGACAGTGACACACCCATAACTTAAACAAGTTCTCATACGGAAATCACGGCTCAGCGAACACCAGTCACACTAGAGATGCAAGTTTGTTTTAAAAATAAAAAACACATTCCAATGTTCCCCAATCCAGATTTCCTTCCTTGGTGTCTCTGCCCAAGAAGAGCAGAACAAGATAACCCAGGAGCTGATGCCTGCCTTCTCCCGTCTCTGTCTGTAAAGCTGATCCCTTGAGCACAAGGAGGACCAGGAGAAGGTACCACAAAGGACAGAGGAGAAAATATAGCACCTGACCACTCAAAAACTGCCATGTCTGATATTGCTCATACCAAACCAGTGACCACCATCCACATTTTAAGGGAGAGGAAAAAAGTTCTGTGGAGAAGTGGTTGAGTTGTCCAAGGAAGTGGCTGAGTCACCATCCCTGAAAGTATTTAGAAAGACATGTAGATGTAACAATTAGGGATGTGGTTTAGTCTAGGGACTTTGCAGTGCAGGGTTAATGATTGGACTTGATGATCTTTGAGTTCTTTTCCAACCTAAGTGATTCAAAGTGCAGAGGCACATTCAGTTTCCTTAGAGCACACTGTCTCTCTGGAAAGACTTCAGACTAGCGTGCAGAGCACTCTGCTCCGTAACTGCACCGTAACTCCACCCCAGTGGAGCCAAAGCACCTCCCCGAAGGCTGGTTTAGAAAGGCGACAGCTGCCCCCACAGCACCTGCTGCATTTCCACATCTCCTGATTTCCACATCTTGTCTCTCCTGAAGCTGTGAACCCCAATGATATGGGAGCAGGGAGCAAAGAGGGAGATCCGGCAGTGCCAAAGCACCAAGCAGTTCACAGCCAGATTGTATTTACCATGGACACAGCACTGCCAGCCTCAATGAATCCAAGACTGCTGTCCAAGGAGACTCTGTACAAAAAAGACATCCCTAGTGAAGGCTGGGAGGGAGATGTGTTTGTGTTTGAGTGGATGGTGCCATCCCTGCATCCAAAACTGCAAAGCACAGCTGGACTGCAGAAGAGAGGAGAGGGAAGCTCAGGACAGGACACATGTTTACTGCTTACAGGAAGGAAGAGACCACTGGAAAGTACAAGGCTGGCATTCAGAGCAGTACTGCCTCTTCCTGCTGCCACTATAAAAGCCAAAAATCCCGGCCCAGAGCTCAGCATCACTGGTTCCCCCATCATGGCATACATCAGGCAGGGCAGGAGCAGGCGCATGGCTGGGTCCCACCCACCGTGCCACTCACTCTTCACCACTGTCCCTGCCCTGGGTCACATCCTGGCTGCACTGTGCATCTGCAAGCTCCCTGCCCCGGCTCTGAGGAGGAGGGAGCTGGACCTCTGGTGCTGGTAAGTGGTTCCAGCTGGATTCCCATCAGCTAAATATCGCCCATGCTGCTCGATGGTGTCCTTTTAAATAGGTTCCCACCCAGTTCTGGCAGTGCAGGCAAAAACACAGCTCTATGTAACCAGAAGCACACATCATTTAAAGAGCAAAAAGGGAACACCGTTACCTCCCTCTCTTCTCTTCAGGACACAAGGCAACACAGAAACACAGTCTCCTTTTGGTTACAGCCTTCCTCCTGACTGATACTGCTGCATGGACTACAGTGACACAGGGTGTGTCACAGACTCCACCTACTAGATGGGTTCAATCTTGCAGTAGTCCCATCAGCCAGAAAACAAAACCAAAACTATTTACTCTGAATATTTGCCACACACTGAGAAAGACGTCTAATGAAGAGTCACCAATCTGCTTTCTGGGTACAGTCAGCTGAAACAGTCTGAAGTAACCTACAACCCAGTTCCTGCTGCTGCAATCAGTTTCATTACTTTGCTGCTTTCACCTGCACTGTTACGCCACAGGCTGTTATCCTCCTCAACACCAGTTGATGCCTCAGGGCAATATAGATAGTAGGAGCTTAAGCCTAGATGTTTTAAGACAGATCTAGTGGTTTTCCTTCTTTGCACCTCAATTCCTAATTCTTCTGGTATTGAACTCCCAGGAGAGCGGGAAGGCTGCAGCAGGATGAGTGGGGTTTGCTCTGCAGCACTGAAAAGAGGAACACATGAAATTCATGGGTCATCTTTTCACCAGATGTCAAAAAATCATAAAATCATAGAATCAAAGAATGGCCTGGGTTGGAAGGGACCTTAAAGACCATCTAGTTCCAATCCCCCATCCAAAGACACCTTCCACTAGACCATGTTGCTCAGAGCTCTATCCAACCTGGCCTTGAACACTTCCGGAGATGGGGCATCCACAGCTTCTCTGGCCCTTTCTCTCAAGTCTGTCCTCCAGACCTCTGCAGTTGTACTCTGAAGGACAGAGTAATAACACAAGGAAAAATGCTCTGTTTTGCAGCCCAGTACAAACTGAATTAATTTCTTTGGACAGTGAAAACAAAAAGATGGAGTGGAGGGAGAACTTGGGGGAAAGAAAGGAGAAAAGATGGATCACAAACTCAGTGAGCACGGCGTTCGCTGACCAAGGAGAATCAAATTCACAAATTCATTCATCACTAATAAATCATCGTCTCATAATCTTAGAAGAAAAGAAAAGAAAAAGTTCTCTTTGCAAGACACAGATCTCACTCTCCCTGCTACTGCCACTCGGAAAACCCACCCCGTATTTCTGCAGCTGACAGGCTCTCCCCTGCCCTTACTATACACCATCCCGCAATAGGAAGTTGTATTTCCCGAAGTCGTCATCCCTGGGGCAGAGCAGCATGTCCTTGCGGGCTTTGGCCAGTTTCTGTTTCAGCACTTCCCTCCGGTCCAGCCACTCCGTCAGTTCGTCCTGGCCATGGGCATAGCGACACTCCTCTCCCTCAGGACAGGCCTTGTTCTTCTGGAACCTGCCAGCACAAGAAGCACAGTCAAGAGGGCACCCCCAGGATGGGGTTATGAGCTCCCTGTCTGGGATACTCGATCAGGACCCACTGAAACATGTTGTGAATTCTCCTTTTTAAAGGTGAGACAATTCTTACAAACCCAGTGCTGGTGGGAAAGGCAACAGAGGCTGGGAACAGAAACAGAGCAGCGAAAAGAGCAATGGCTATGAGGGGATTTAGTTAAGAGCACAAAACAATGTGACCTGGAACTGGACCAGTGCACAAGAAAGGAAATGCCAGGTAACCACCACAAGACAGAGCTTTCTCTCTAACCAAAATGGCATCTAACCTTCTCAAGGCACCTCAAGGTGATGATTCAGAGGGTGTGAGCATTCAAACCATTTAATAAGGCACCTGGGATTCCCCCAATCACTAGGCCAAATTGGATTGTTCAGCAGCCAGAGAGCTGAGAGTATCCTGTCTATGGAGGCCACAGGTGCAGACATGAAACTTGCTCTCCTTTTCTAAAGACACATGCTCAGGAATGTATTTTTATCCCTCAGTACTGTGGCTGAGCACCTCTGGGATCCAAGAGCAGCCTTGCTGTAACCCAAACCTGTCATCTCATCCCACTCCTCCTCTATGCTGAAGTCTCTGGGAACTCTCTGAAAGGATGAGGAGGGATGACAGAGGTGCTGGGCCTGTTACCCTGTCCCTGCAGCAGCAGCACAGGAGGGAGATGAGACAACTGTACCTTTCACAGAGCCGGAATTCGCCCATGGGGAAGCGGTAGGTCCAGCAGCTGGAATCACTGTCTGAGGTGAAGACTTTTTCCTTGTGTTTTTCCGACTGGATGTGCTGCTGCCATTGCTTCTTGCTGTTGCTGTTCTTCCCGCAGAGCCAGCAGTGGTAGCCCATCTAACCGGTGCAGACAGGGCAAAGGGCCAGTCAGTGTGTTGACATTCACACCCATTTGCCTTCCCCATGCTGGCACTGCCTCTCCCCCCTCTTCTTCCAGAGCATCCTGGAAGCTCTACTCAGTCTATGACTTCCCACACTTGTCTGCCATGTCATCTCTAGGGAACTGTCCTCTCACTAAAGGGAAACTAAGGAGATGCTCTGTTGGCATCTACCTATGGCTCAAACAGGCTTAGTGGACAGGGCAGCTCAGTTCATGGATACGGCTCCCCTCCCCCTGCTGATGGCCCCAGTGGGGTCTCTCTGCAAGGTCCTCAGGTGCACAGCCAATCCAGGACTCTTTAGGAGCACAAATCCTTACACCAGCAAGGAGTTTAAAGAGGCACATCTGCCTTTAGTTTTCCCAGGCTGCTGTGCTCCTGACCCAACTCTTCTCCAAGCTTCTTTCTTTTCTGACAGGCCTGCAATGGTTTGGCCAGCTTGCCCAGGAGGACTCAGGAAGCCCGGAGAGTGGCTGAGCCCACACAAAAGGGAACCTAAGGTAGAGTCCTAATGACTTGAGTATTAACAGAAAAGCCATTGCAGAGCCTTGCTGACCCCAGGTCAATCTCTTCTTGCCTCGGCTGTGCTGCCCTTGTTGTGCTGCTCCAAGCTGTCCATTTAACCTACATTAGAAGAGCAATACAGTCCCTGCTAGCTCACACCTGGAGCACAGGAGAGCAGCAGGCTGTCAGCACTGAGGAGAGAGAATAAAGAACAAGAGATCAGATGATTACCATGATGTCAGCATAGTCGGTGGGCATCTGGATCTGCTTCTCCCCTTCTCGTGAGGTGAGTGGTGTTCCCTCTCCAGGCTTCCCGGGGTTGTGTTTCTTTAGCCACATGTCATAGGTCTGCTGCATATCTAGTACTGCACAAAGGCGACCCATGACGTCACTCAGACAATCTCCCACACCGTGCACAAACTACAAGAAAAGGACGAATGCTGGGGCAGCCCTTCCCTCCCCTCGCCTATGCGGCAGCAACAGACTGAAGGTCTGTGCTTGGGAGGCCCCATGTGACCTCCTCAAATGAGACCCCTGCAGAAAGGAACCAAATTCACACCACATCACCTGGTATGGGGGATGTCTTCTATCAGTTGAAAGGCAATTGTGACAGCAGCTACACAAAATTGTCAGGAAGGTGGGAAAGTGCCTCAAGTTCTCCATAGAATTCACCCCACAAGACGATTCTCCATCAGGCCTGGTTCTGGTCGACCTCAGAAGACATCTCACTCCAGCCAGGAAGCTAAGCCTGGGGCTGGTTTCAGATCCGCCCCTTTCCTCTAAGCCTAAGTTTCGTCCTCAGCACTAGAGAGGAAGGAGAGCCCTTAAGCAAGCTGGCCACAGGAAGCATTGAGGAGGGGAGAAAGACCTAATGATAGCTTGCTCCGAGTTCATAACCTGCCCCGAGGACTGCAGTAATTGTCTCTTGAGGCTTTTGGTTTAAAACCCACTCAGTATACTAGTGGGAAAGGAAATTCGAGGTGGAAGCTTTAACTACACATCTGCCTTTCCAAGATCAGCTCCTGAGAGAGCCTATTGAAACACAAATGTTTGCAGACACCAATATGATGCTCTAAGTACAATGCATTACTTATTTACTCCTTGCCAAATGGGTAATTGAGGAACTTGAGGCAACAGGAACTTAAGAATGCAAATTCCCCCAAACTGAAACAACACTGTCCTTCGAAGAGTCACCTTTGTGCTTAAGCAAACACACCCAGATTGGTCTGATGTCCTCTAAAGGGTTCAGCAACAAAATGATTTGAACTGTAACAAGCAACAGTTTGGCCCAGCAGAGTGAAAGACCCTCCACAGAATCATAAAGACCAAACAAACTCAGGGCAGGCCTGAAATCCTTCAGGCTTTCCAGCATCTCCCACAGTGTCAAGTGAGCACATGGACAACTAGTCCTTTTCCCCTTGCTGTTGGTCTGAATAAACAAGGATTGCTGCCATAGCTGGCCATCCAGGACGTGGGCAACCCCCCAGCTATCCCCCAGACAGTAAGCTGGGAACCTGCATAATTAAATACAGACAAACTCCTCCAAAAAGTCACCACCCAACGATGTTCTCATTCAGGATCTCAACTCCTCCCCTTTGAGTACAATGCCATGAGTAGGGAGTGCCGCAGCCCAGGAGCAAGGGATATGAAGAGAAATAGGCAAGAAAGCCAAGGCAGATAGAAGACAGACAAGAGAGATACAGGAGCAGCTACAGGCCAGGACTGGTGCTTTGGCAGAGCTCCATACAGAGCCCGGCCTGGGACTCTACAGGCAACTGGAGGGACAGCACAGGCTGGATTCAAATATGCTGCAGAAAGAGAGGGCAGCAATGGAGCAAAGCAAGACACGGGACCAAGGTACTCAAGTCCCAGAGCAAGGGACTCAAGATATACATGCACATTTATGAAAAGAGCAGCTCTAAATTACTGTAGACAGACCTGTCCCTTAATCCCACCTAAGCTCATGGGCACAGCCCTGTCCAGCTCCGTCTCTGTTGTCAAGAGTATGTCTTAAAAAACCCTGCATCCACTCCCCAAATGCCCTCTTCCCTCTCCCCACTCACTTTTATTTTCTTTCATGAAGGTCCACATGTCTCTCTCCTCAGGGCTGTGGGCAAAGGAGCAGTTGCCCACATACTGGCATTTCCTGCCATTCTGTGCATGGATACACAACTGTTAAAAGACAGAGAAAAATTTAGCATCAGCACAAATACTCCTTGGTAGAGGAGAAAGTGGGTTCAATAATCAGCTGGGGCATTAAATTGCACACAGGAGAGGTTGCAAACAGGACACTTCATACATCATTAACTCATGTTTTTTTCCTCAATCTTCTGAGACATAAACATGTAGGCAGCTCAGTTCAGCACCTATTCCATTTCCACAGGTGACCAGGTGCAGGTACAGGTCAGGAGAGCAGGGAGCAACCTGGGTTGATCCCATAGTGTCTCCCGCTGGTCAAGCTGCTGGTCCCCAAAGGTGACTCATTCTCCAACCATCTCCGAGTGGCCTTTACAGGTTGCTTAGACCACACTAGTGCACACACAACTTTACCTCACAGCTACCAACAGCATCAGTGCCCGAGAAAAGGAGAAGCTTTCCAAGCATCATATTGACTGATCGTCCCTTCTTCCCCCAGTCCTGGCAACCTCAGGAGGACATACCATAGGGCAGGGGGAAGGAGTTTCTCCTTTCAGGAAGAAATGAAAGGAGAGGAAGAGAGAAGCTATCTCTCACCACATTTGGGGTGGGGTTGGAGGTTAGATATCTGTAACTTTCCTCACAGCATGTGGCTTTTTAGCTGAGTTCTTAGTTTTACTTTCAAAACCCATTGTGAGCAAGTTTCACAATCTACGGCAGCCCAGCCACAGCAAAGGCAGGAATTGGCTTCTCCTAAGTGTCTTGCCTCTCACCCACATTGAGAAACCCTGACCTAAAGGGAGACTTAAATTTCATTCCCAAACCCTCTGCAAGCCAGAGATGCATTAACAGTTCTTGATATGCATTAACAGCAACTTCAAAAACTCGCATATGTATATGGAGTGATTTAAATGGGTGCTGCTCCTTCTTCTGCTCCACCTTTTTGCTGGACTTTGTTGCCATCAGTCTGTCCTTACCTCCCATCTCAGCCATCACATGCCTGCCTCCCTGCCAGGCCTGCAAGGGACCAGCCCTCAAAGCACTGTACCATGGTGGAAGGGAAAGAGAAGGGGCATCTGGCATGGGGCTTACATCATATTGCTGTGGGAAGTTGCGGGTGGGAGGCAGCGGTCGGACTGACACCCACTTCTTCTTTGCTTTGGACATCACCAGCAGGACACGGCGTTCCTTCGTCCAGCTGAAGAAGAGAGAATAAATCAAGAGAGGCATAAGGAAGAGCAGAACAAGGGTTCTTTACCTCAGAGACCCTTAAATACTGAGAGCTGACCAGATCCTGCTGTCCACCTTGTCCCTGCACTGTCTGGTTGCTCCTAGATGTGCACATCTGTGATGGAGACGCTACAAGAAGGGTGTTTTAGGAGGACTTCTCCCTGTATGTATTACCTATTTCCTAGAGTATTTCTTCTCATAAAGCCACAAAAAATCTCCCCCAAATCTCACATGACATCACCATGGATTACTAAACAGCTGCATTCTACCCTTCGACACAGCCAGTTCTTGTGCAATCAGATCCATGAAAAACACTTGGGAATATTTTCTGCTTGAAAGGTGCAACAGAAATGCAAGTTGTTACAAGCACCATCTTATGAACAGGTGCCAGGAAGTATTAATTCTCCTGCAAGCGATTACCAGGAGATAACCTTGGCAAAAGCCCCAGTTCTTTTCAGTAGCTGCACAAAGAGGTGTTATTTTTCCCATTCCAGGAAGCAATCTTCACCTGCTCACTTCCTTCAGAAACTGCTTATTCTGTCTCTTCTTCAACAAAAGTCTTACATTTGCCATGTAAGACTTTCTTGGACTATGCCTCTGTGGCTTGTGTTATAGGAAGAGAAGTCCTATAAACCCTCTGTCCCAATCTGCCAGACTGCCTGGGTGAGATAGACCACAGTTTTCATGACCAAACAGTTGAGTTCCCAGACAATATTCCTCTTGTAGACGGCTTATAAGAAAGAGGGGAACAAATTTTTTAGTAGGGCCTGTCTTGATAAGACAAGGGGTAATGGCTTGAAACTGAAAGATGGTAGATTCAGACAAGATATAAAGAAGGAACTTGTTATGATGAGGGTGTTGAAACACTGGCACAACCCAGAGAGGTGGTGGATGCCCCATCCCTGTAAACTTTCAAGGTCAGGCTGGACGAGACTCTGAGCAACCCGATCTAGTTGAAGATGCCCCTGCTTATTGCAAGAGGACTGGACTAGATGACCTTTAAAGGTTCCTCTCAATCCAAATTGTTCTCTGATTCAATGATTTTATCACACCAAACATTCTTATGGGGCCAAGGAGCTGAGAGGTGCAAACAGACGTGACACACACCAGAGAAGAGCAACCAAAGCAATGAAAAAGCCAAGGAAACTATTTTAAAATGAAGCAGAATGCTTGCAGAGGGATGGGGGAAAGAGAAGGTTGCATTGCTCACCAGTGGCGGGCTTTGGCACTACAGTACTTGAGGTCTTTATCTGGCTCCACCAGCTGCCCATTCCTCCAGCACTGGCCACACACAAATTTCATCTGGAGGTCAAAGGTGCTTGATGTGGGAGTCCGGGAAGAAGCCTAGGGAAAAGAATCACAGTCTCAGGCACACAGAGGCAAAATGCACTCCCCAAACCTGCCACAGTGATGCTGGCAGCTCCCCACATGCCCGTGTGCCAGCGACAGGCCAGATTAAATCACAGACAGCCCAGCTCTCCTTTGCCAGTGTTAGCTGGTGGCCCGTTGAGATTCCAGACAGGAGCAAAACCACTGCTTGCTTCAGCATGATTTCCTGGGCTTTGACGTCTGGCTGAAAGCACAGACAGCCTGACAGCTTCCAGCACTGACCAGACCTGGCTGTGAAACCCCTGCAGCCTATCTCTGTGTACAGACAAGCTCTGTGAGACCTGCCCCAGCACTCATCCCCACTTCCCTGCAGGGAGGGCAATCCATGTCCCCCTCACTGCTTGTGGAGAGAGCCTGGTCACACAGCTGAGAGAGCCCCTCAGGAGGAAGCCAGGCCATGCCACAGTGCAGGATCCACCACTCCTGCTTTAGGACCAAGAGGCTCATGTCACATCTACCATTTGACACCATGAAGTCAGAGCTGGGTCCTCGTGTTGATACCCTTCCAAGCCGTTTCTGGGCAGGTTTCCATCATGGTTCCTCTGCACTGGATTTCACAAGCAGTTAATCACAGTCTCTGGACAGATGTACAATGCACATATTTCACACCTTCTCAGCCACTGCACTTATTGACCCCACCATGAGAAGGCTAGTTTGGGATTATAACTAACAGATTGTGGAGAAAGGGGAAAAAAAAAGAAGCCAGTCCCGTATCATTGCTGCCTCATGTTTTCTGAGCAAACCAACAGAAAGCCATTTGTCTTCTTTATCACCCCTGGAAGACATGAGGCTGGCACCTCCAGTTCACTTTCTGCCAGCAAATGATTAGCAATAGCATGGACCCTCTATGCATCCCTTGACAAAGGGAAAACAGCAAGCACAGGCAACGCAGAATCAAAGCATGTCCGAGGAAATGCCACATCAGCTATTGACTACCACTCTGCATCCTCCAGACCTAGTTTTTGCAGAAGCAGAGCTGACATATAAAAGGTCTTCTGTCACTGTGAAAAGCTGACCAGAGAGCTGACCTTTGTCTGTGCTGACTACAAGAAGCCATCAGTGCTCTGATGTCCCAGCAAAAGGACCCTACCAGAGAATCAGCATCTCTCTTGAAAAGCAGCAGCGATTCTCTACTCCTCTGTAAGAGCCTTTTTGGTGGCTTCCAGCACATGATCATTCAGCTGTGCTGGTGACCACCAAGAACACACCAAAGTGGCTGGCTGTGGGATGAACAGAGTTGAGACCTGGGCTATCATGGAAGGCAATAAGGTGCCTCCCTCTGAGATGTGCAGCCTTTGAACAGTAGTTTTAACCTCCACTTGGTCTCCAAAGGAAATGACACTACATCTCACTACTGACCCATCAAACCTATATGCCTAAGGTAACAAAATGGCACTGCTGGCATATTCCCTTTTATCAGTCCCGTGCTCTCCTCCTGGTGACAGATCTCTCAGCACAGCCAGAAAGCTTTGCTCAAACCTACTGACCCAGCAAAAATAAAAACTGAGTGGCTCCAGAAGAGAAAATAGATCAAGATAAAATGAATGTTTCTCAGGTAGTTCTGGTAACCTGGGCTGCTTTTTCCACAAAAGCTTAACCAAAAGAAGCCCCGTGCATTTCTTCATCTGAGTCATGCAAACTGCTGATCAATCCAGTGGGCAGGTATGCTCCCAGGATATTAGGAGCCAAGCAAAAAATCAAAGCTGCTGCTGTTAATGCTACATGACTGTATTTGTGAAGGCAAGACACATACCTGGCAGGCTGCTGATAACCAACAGTGTGGAAATTGTATCACATGAGGCTCTAGCAGACAAAGCCAGGCAAAAAGTGCCACGGGCTGTGGCACCACCCCTTGCTATGAAGCCAATATAGTGTTAGCTGTACACCATGGCAACCAAATAAATAAAAGCCTTTGGCACGACAGCTCTCCGCTTCAGGCTCTGCAGAAACCAACAGCCACAGCACGGCCACTCACGTCTCCCAACTTCAGGAACCCTGCTCAGTCTGGAGGAGCCACATCCCTCAGCCAAATATTTGAGGAGCCCATGTTACTCAGCCACATAACTGAGTGAGCTGTACTTGGGGGCAAGTACCCCTTATGAGAGACTTTTCTTTCCTCTCCATGCTTAAATTAATAATTCTGAGATCAGCTTTCATGGGGTTCTGCAGCTGGCTAGGGGAGTAAAAACAAATTAGCCCTTGAAAACCAGAAAAAATCAGGGCTACAACCCCTCAATTCACAAGAATGCTATGGGAGACACCCAGCTACCTACAACAGTCCCTCCTGCTGACTGCCTCTTCAATCTGCAGCCACTGGGTTTACTTCTAGAGCAGCCTCTACGGGACCAAATTTGTGGGGTCAAGTGCAAGATTCCCGGCAGGTGCTTAGCAAGCAGTGTATCTTCGTCTTCCACTTCTTGCTAAGCCTCCTGAGCTGCTCACAGCTACTGGGCTCCTGCCTGCTGCCTGCCTCTTTTTTCCACAACTGGACAGCCCCAGCTGCTAACTGAGTCCAACTGGCAGCTGTGACAAAACTGCAGCAAAATCCCCCAGAGCGACCTTGCTTCCGCTGACCAGAGGGCACCGGGGTGAGAGTGGAGCACACGGGATGGTGGGAAGGAGGAGTCTGTTTTTACAGCACTCCTGGGAAGTTGTCTTTGCTAGGCAGCCAACTTTGAAAGCTGGAAGGACGCTGAGAAAACTCTGAGTCACCTTAGCCTGCTTGGACAGGAGAAAACAATGGCAAAAGTAAACATCTCTCAACAGATAGTTAGCCCTGCCCGCAGGGTGTTCGGCAGCAAGCCAGGGTCTCATCCCAAAGCACAGCCCTCTGGCTGAGGACGTGCTCGTGGCAAAGCCATGGCTTGCTATTTGCAAACACATGCATCTGACCGACTTGACTCTGTCTCCCTGAGCAGTGCCAGTGCCAGGCTGCCAGTGCCCACAGACAGCTGGTGCTGCTGCCGGTAGGCATTTTCTGACTGTACCAACACGGCTGCTGTTTCGCCTCCACAGCCTGGAAGGGTGGAGGGTTCAGTCCAGCTCTGTGAAAGGCATTTGTGGGGTATAACCAGACTTTGCCACCAGCCATTAGCCTTAACACTGATCACAGGGTCCAGAAACTGTAGCTCTCTGCCCACCTCCTGATGTAGCAGGCTCTGGCATTTTGTTTCCTGATCCTCTGCCCCGTGCAAGCCCCAGCAGCCAGAAATGGAACCCTCACTCAGTATCCAGATCCCATGTGCTTCAGAGAACATGCTCTGACCATGCCTGCTGTTCCACTTGTTATTCCAACAGCAGCACCTCCAGACAAAGGTGAATTTGAAGCTGCAAGGTTTATAGAAAAAAAAGCTGTCTGTGTATTTTTTTTATGCCCTCATTACGCACAGAGAATGGCCAGAGAGAGCTTTCTGGAAAATGCAGGTAGATCCACAGCAGGCAGGAGAGAACCGGTCTCTAGACTGCACTCTTGGGGCAGGCATTGCTGATACAAATCCAACTGCTGTCACAAACTGCTGCAAATTCACACTTAGTTTCCTCCCTTGTGGAGATGCAGGCCCCTCCCTCTGTCCCCATACCATGCAGAAAGAGATCACAGCCAGCTCTGTCTGCAGGAACCATTCAGATCATCCAGGCTCACGTCTCACATAATACAGGACGTAGAAACTCGTCCTTCTTAGCTTCCTGAGAAGCTAGAACATATTTCTTAAGCAAGTTGGACAGTTTTGGGAACTAGAGACCTTGGTTACTCTGGACTGCTGCTTCCCATTCCACTCCCCCAACCATTTCAGACCACAACAGCTGCACAGGTTTGTTGCTGAGCATCCCCTCAAAGATGACTCCATCTCATGCAGCATAACCAGTACATACATGGACACACTGCAAGCCCACTGCAAGCACCAGTGCAGTCACCTGCATCTTTCCTGTTGGGCTAGGCCATGCCCAGCAAGACCTGCTTTTCCCCAGCATCAATGCCCTACAGCCTTCAGAACACTTGGCCCACAACCTAGATAAAAAACAGCTCCTACACACCACATGAGTGACTCAGATCCCTCTCCTATAAAACACCTCCTCTTTAGGATGCTTACAGACTTCATTCAGTGCTGGTCTCTGCAGAGGGACTCCTGGATGACAGGTCCCAGACAAAGGTGGAACACCCTTGCTTTGACAATAAGGCATAGACCAAGGGGTGGTGAGCTCAGGCCTTCACAAGGGGAAAGAAGGCAGTCAAATGGGATCCAAAAGGATTCACAGCACTTTCCCTGCTATTCTCCAGGGGAAAGAATCACTCCTATGCCTGAGTGCTTGCTAGGAAGCGTGAAGTTTCTCATCTTGTCACACATATTCTATGAAAGCAATTAAAGTCTAAAAACCTCCTTGTTCTAATGGCAAAAACTGCTTTAGTTCGACTCAGGGCTGGGAATTGTTCTCACTGGGTGGGCTCTGCTCCTGCACTACAGAACTCCCCTTTGGGAAAAAAAAAGGATAAGGCAGCACTGTCCATAACCAACAGGTCGAAAGAAAGTAAACAAAGTGCCTTTTGCTTATAACACACCTCTCTAGGGAAGTTCTTGGCAGTGCTGGAGGGTGCAGCCAGAGGCACCCTCTCCCACACTGAGAGACTGGTGGCACAAAGGCAAAACTCACAGCCTCCTCCTGATAAAGCACCATTAAGATCTCTGCCCAGCCTCAACAGCATCTGGACTGAAAGTTCCACCTACTCCTGCATTTATATCAGTCCTGTGGGTCGAGGAGTCCTTCAAACTGCTCTATCGTCCCTTGGCCACTAAAGGGCAGCAGGACACCTTTGGTCCCCACTCTGTGTGGCCATAGTCCTAAAATCTCCTAATTTCACTAGCAAAGTGTCACAGGAAGCACCATTCTCTGTGCGTTGCCCTCTGTGTCCTAGAGGATTCACCCCACCATGGAACAGAGCAGATAACAACGCTGCAGAACAAGGCACAAAGCTCAACACCAGCACAGCACCCAGGAAAGCTCTCAGCTGTCCTCCTCAATGGCAAGCCTGGTCTGCCTGGGATCTATCAGGCGCAGCAGTGAGAGGGAAAGAGACAATGGGCTGGCACTGCTGGGAGCAAAACCAGGCTGCAAGCTCTAGATACACCTCACTTACCATGCTGTTGGCTGGTTTGCTGGCATGTGCCTCCATCTGCTGCCAGTACTTTTTAGATTCCTGCACGATATCTTCATGGGTCATTCCTGGGAACACAAAGGAGACAGAACTGAACTACCCTGCTTTGACCAACACAAGGGAGGGGTTGTTGCAGGACTTCTTACATTTGGGCTTAGTAAACCCTGAGTGGCTGACAGCTCCTGACAGCCTCGCTGGTAAGGTCAGGACATGAGTTGTGAGGGGACCCATCATGGAACATGCTTAATCCCAGGCTAAGGAAGCTCCTCTCTTTACACAAGTCAAACAGAAGGAGAAGAGTTGGATCTCCTGGGCTTGTTTCTGCTCAGGTTGCCTGCAAAGGACCCAGCTGCTGCCTCTGGGACAATAATTTTTCACTAGGGGTCAAGAGCTTGACAAAAGCTGTCCCCCAATGCCTTATCAACAGACTCTACAGAGGCTCCTGAAGACAGTGCTTTGTTACTGTTGATCTACTGTATAATGGAGTTTTTGCCACTAGGTTGGAAGATCACAGATATCCCAGTGAGGCACCTAGCACCTCCAAAACCCAGGAAGCCTCACCTATCCCAGGCTGGGATTAATTAGCCTGTTACACCTTCAAGTTGAGGGGTCTGCCCATCAATTAGTGGGCGAAGCAGAAAGTTGAAATTCAACATATACAAACACCAAGCACAACCAAGGCAGCAAGGAAAGGCCAACAGTGCAAAACCAACCAAGGAACAGCTGCTAGTATGTAACCAGCAAGGAAAGAGCCGCAAGGTTTCAGGTATCAGAAATACAACATCAGAGAACAACAAAAAGGGTTAGTCAGACCTTATGTAAGGAATTAACTCCTGACCAGCTCAAGTGGTGAGGGAACAGCCTCTGTTAGCACCAACCAGCCAGATGGGCCCTATGACTCTTAGAGCACTAAACAGCAAGAAAAAACTGTGTAAGGGTAGGAACTGTTTGGTCAGTGTGAAGACTTTGTTACAAAAAAGCCCATGTTATTTAAGTGCTATAAAGACCCAAGACAGCTGCCAAAACAAACTGAAGCAAGTATCTTGCAACAGCTAGCTGATTCCAAAAAGTGGGGTGCTGAGGATGGCCTTGATGCAGCACCACCAGGACACAGAGGCTGCAAAACTAATCAATATGCTTATGCCTACAGCTTTATATTACTGAAGTGAGGTGTTCCCCAGGTGTGCTACATGGTCATGATCTTTGATCTGGGAGCCAACATGTTCCAGGGCCACCAAATGTAAGTTTTCATCTCAGCTTAGGCTGTGTGTAAGTTGGGTAAGTCGCATCATTCATGATCTCAGTTTCCTTATGTGTGATTCTGGCTGTTCAGGTCCCTGTCAGGCAACAATACTGCCATTTGCACAGGGCTTGAACAGGATGAAAAGAATTCAGGGAGCTTTACCACTATTTAAGAACATTTGCTCAGGCCTTTAAAATGGCAGCTGCTGCATAGCTGGTACTGCTCACAGATCAGAGCTGTTGGTAAATTTTCTCCTTTTTTAGACATTATCCAGAAGAAATAGTGCAGAGTTAGTAAAACTGCAACTCCTTCTTTCATGTCCAAATATTGCAGGGTTGGGCACACTGCTGATCGATACTTTGGGAACAAAAACTATAAAACTGGGAAAACCACAGGAAGAAGTTAACATGCTGCACTGGACCTGGCAGGGAAAGGGCCAAAGCAGCTCCCACCTTCTCCATTCTGCACACCTGCACTGTGATCCCTGGGGTGCAGAATCAATAGGAGAAGCATACACAGGTCTTGTCAGAAGACTGAATTTCAAATGACGTTCTTAGCAAGTGACTGCCTTCTTCCAGTCCCAGAAATTTGAACTAACTCAACAATACAGTCTAGAAATGTGGTGGTCAGGAAAAAAAACCTCCTCCCAAATGTGAAAGGATGTTTGCCAAACTACCAGCTCTCCAAAGCATGAACTGTCACAAAGAAATGATCTGGGAACCAAAAGGCCCATGTGTTGATTACTTATAATATTTCAGTATCTTTTGCAACATCATTAGTGAGGACAAAGACTGTGATTTCCACTGATGGAAGAAAATAGCAAGATATGTCTGTGAAAAGCCACAGTGAACAAGAAAACAGTCCTGTCTATCCAGTTTTCAGATCTTGGGAACCTTTACTTCACTAATATGATCCTTTATCCCCATGAACAAAGCCAAAAGCTCTGTAGAAGCTCAGATGGCTGTGAAATGTTTCAAATGCTAGCTGTTATGCCCTCTTCCTATTCTTGCCAAGCAAATAGCGCTCAACTGAAACTCTCTGCTCCAAAGCTAAAGCATTCTCAGAGAATGGTAACAACTACCTTTCATCTCTGTTTCCATAATGAAGGCTACACTCAGGAGAGGTAATAAACCACCATTCCAGGAAGGCAAACTCACAAGGAGAGCAGGGTCATATATATATACAGCCCTGCAGAAAAAAAACCATGATAATGGCTCTCGCATTGTTGGAAAAGACGGAAATAAGCATAGGGCTTACTGACCACCTCTGCAGCTCTTAACTCATGGCTTATTTCATCTCCTCAGCTTCCCCTTTGAAGTAATTTCTTCAAGTAATGAAAGCAAGAAGAAAAAAATCAGTCTAACAGTTTCTTCTACAGGCTGAAGAGGAAGGAAGACAGAGGGAAGAAGGGAGCAAAGAAACTTTTCTTAAAAAACCCAAACAAACCAGCAAAAATAAACCAACCATGGGGTGGGAAAAAGAGCAAAGTCTTGAATATTAGAATGCCCAGAGTACTACAGGCAGTATCATAAGCATGTAGAGAAGCAGTGGTGGCCTACAGCACACAGGCAACATGCTTTCTTAGAAACTCTGGAGTTGTAATTTTTTAATTTCCTGAGGCCACAAATAAATGAGGTCAAACGGCAAGAATAAAAGATGGCATTTGCCACAGAGCCACACTTGTTCATCACGGTCCCTCACGAGCTGAAGCCAAGGCCAAGGACCGCACTGAACATCAGTTATGAGAAACATCCATAACGCCTTCCTCTCTGAAGTACTCCTATTACCAGGCTGGGTGTTGCACTAAACGAGACCCTTGTAGGTAGCCCTGTGGGTGGACCAGATCTACACAGTCAACAGGGGAGCAGCCAGAGAAATCCTCCAACCTGTCAGTCAGAGACAGAGAGAAAGGACTGAAAGTGCCAGATGTGGCAGTGCCATTACATGAGTGCCCTGAATATAATTTTTGCAAAGGCCTCTTCAGAGGCATCTCATCAAATGCTTTTTGGGAAAAATCAAGTATCTTGTCATTTCCCACTGTTGGTGAATTTGTTTTGAGAAACTGGAGATGCACAGCCTTCCTTTATATAACTGACTGCTTTGTCACCTGTGCCTACTGCCATTCTCACTGCAGCAGATACTCACTCAGGGGTCCAACTGCTATTTGCACAAGATTTAAGCACCAAAACACCTTTTAGGATTCAGCTCTACCTAATAATAATTTTAATTCATTCAGCTGGTCTCAGGGGATAGGCTTCCTGGTCTACAAATTATAATAGCACATGTAAAAGTAAAAGGACCAAATCACCTCACAGAACACCTTGGTCCTCTTTTCTGTGCCCTGAGGAGGCAAAGTAAGTATACACACAGGTGAATGACAACTTCTCAGTGCTCCCAAATCACCCTCTTCCCTTCTCAGCTGGCCCTGGGTACACACTGGAAGAAACTCAGGTATACACTGCACCAACAAGTCACTCACCTGAATATTGCTGCAGCAGCCAGACCTTGAGCTCAATGAAACTGTGAGCAAAGTGGCAGCTGTCCTCACGTAGGCAGCCATAACGCACCTCATGTCGGCACACGTCAAACTGGAAGTGCTCTTGGAACTGACGGATTTTGGAATATTTCAGGGAGGTGGAACGCACAATGTGGACCAGACACCTGCAGCCAGGCCAGAAAAATATGAAGCATTAGAGGATCAAACCCTCCCCACCTCCTCCTTTCATGTGACATCCAGACATTTGACCGTGCAGGCAAAGGACACAAGAAACTCAACTCTAGGAGAGACAGATTCCCTCTGGGAAAAGCAAGCCCCTGCCCTCCCACCCTATCAAGCCTGGGTAGGTACTTTCAATCTCCTCAGCACATGGGTGATGCTCTGCTTTAGTTCAGAGATCAGATACATTTCAAAATATACAACAAAGATACCAACTCCTCAAGCTCAGCAAGTCCCTAAGTCTCAGGTTGCCAGGGACCAGAAGGAATTGTATAACTATGTACTTGACATGTTTGTTATACTTGTTTTCCTAAACATTCATTACCAGCCAGTCAGAAGCAGGATCCTGAGCTACAGGATCTTTGTTTTGACCTTTCTGTAAAGGCCAAACTGAAAGGCAAATTAAGTCAATGGAAAATCTAGTACACTGACACCAAAGGGTTTTGCTGCTGCTTGAAATCCTTCAGCACCAGCAGCAAACACAGAGAGTGAAGCCCACAGTGCTATTTATCATGCTTTGAGCTGCCCTATGATTGGAACCCATGGGGAGAAAAGAAAGAAAGAGACCAGGGCCCTGGAGTTAAACTGGCTGGACTTGTGAGAAATTGTTCCCATCAGCACAAAAAACTGTTCGCTCACTTGTTGTCATGGAAACTGTGTTTGGCAGAAAGGTTGGAGCAGACAGATGGCGTGTCCTTGGTCCCTTTGCTGATAATCCGGGGTTTGCTGTCGAAGCAAATCTGAGAAGAGAAGAATTAGCATGCTGGGAAAATCTTAGAGAGCAGTGAACCAGAGCCACTTCACTTGGAAGAGGAAGAAGAACCAGAGCCAGCCTATTCTAATGTTCAAAGTCAGAAAGAAGTCTGATGAAAACTTTGTGGTAGGGCTTTAAAATAAAGCAAGTGAATCTCTGGAAAAGCTTCCGGACAACATTTTTTGGCTTATTCTCAACAGTATTTTCCATTGTGGTTGGAAAAATTTTGGTCAGAGCCACATATTCTTTCCCTGTTAGCCAAGAGAGCAAGAACAAGGGGGAAATGATGGGGAGAAATAAAAGAACAGCCACTTCACAGCAAAGAACATGTCCCTTTACATGTACTGCCAGCATGGGGAACTCTGTGCTGCAGAGCATCAAGACGATATGAGACAATCCTCAACTGACCAATTCTGTGGCTCTGCACAGACGTCAAGTGGGAATTTGTTGCATTACGGAGTTCTGATTGCTAAAGTAACTGCAGCTAAATTACAATTCAAAGCAACATCTCAAGATAGAGGAAGAGACAGGTGATCTTATGAGGCTGTGAGCACTTGGTTCAGCTGCAGGGCTAAGGAAGAAATCTACTTCTATCTCCTACACAGCTGCATACACTGCTAACTGCCCTCCTGGGAGCAGGGCACTGGCTGGGACATACAGAGCCATAGATGGCCCACTCCTGCACCTTTAAATCTCCTTCTTGAAGAATGTCCAGGCTTCCTGGACTCCTTTGCCCTTCAGGACTGCCTGCCAAGGGACTCTGTCAACCAAAATCCTAAACAGGCCAAAGTCTGCCCTCGGGAAGTCCAAGGTGGCTGTTCTGCTGACTCCCCTCCTTACTTTTCCAAGAACTGAAAACTATCATTCCATGATCGCTGTGCCCAGGACGGCCTCCAACCATCACCTCACCCACCAGTGCTTCTCTGTTCACAGACAACAGTCCAGAGGGTGCTTTCCCTAGTTGTCTCCCTCACCAGCTGTGTCAGGAAGTTCTCTTTCACACTCCAGGAGGTTCCTGGAGTGTTTCCTCTCTGCTGTGCTGTATTTTCAGCTGAAGTTCCCCACAAGAACAAGGGCCAGAGATTGTGAGACTGCTCCCATCTGCTTATAGAATAATTTCTCTGCCTCTTCACCCTGGGCGGGTGGTCTGTAACAGGATCCCACCATGATATCAGCCTTGTTGGCCTTCCCCCTGATTCCTACCCATAAACACTCAACCTTATTGCTGCCATCATTAAGCTCTAGACAGTCAAAACACTCCCCAACATACAGGGCAACCCCACTGTTTCTCCTGCTTTGACCATCCCTCCTGAGGAGTTTATAACCATCCATTGCAGCACTCCAGTTGTGCGAGTCATCCCACCATGTTTCTATGGTGGCAACTATCAACATATCAATGGTCCACATGCATACTGAGGAGATGATGAAGGATGCTTGCCCCCTCCCACCAGCTCTGTACCTCACAGAGGAAGGTGAAGATGCCCTGATGTTCCTTGAGGAGCTTGGCAATTGTGAGGCTGCTCTGCTTGATCCCACCTAGCGGGTCAAAGAGGAGGTCACGGTTGAGGGTCCCCTTCCTCTCCTCCGTCCACACGTCGATCTCTTCCTGGTGGTACGCGAAGGTGCAGTTATCCCCGTACTTACAGTCCTGCTTGTTAAGCATATCTACAAAGCAACAAACAGCACACACCACCACACAGGCAGGGCGGCCCAGTCAGAAACTAAACTCTCTCTTGTCTCTTCCCACTGCCCATGCTTCTCAAGGAACTGAAAGCAAGAAAACAGAGAGCTGAAGAAAAGACATCTCCCCCCAGGCTTGTTTGTATCGAGACATTCAGGAAAGTTAATGCAAACTACTGAATGGTGACAGTCTCAAGTAATGTTGCTGTTGGGGAAACCATCTCAAAACAGAGGCCACCTTTAGTTCAGTGCCTGGCAAGGGACAGATCATGATTTTACTAACCCCTTTTAATGCTAACCCAGACTAAGTTCTCCCATAGGCCCAGCACTAAGGAGCCCTGTCAGCTTGGCTCTTGCACTCTCCCCACCGCATTGGGTAGTTTGTAATGGCACTGCCTCAGGGACCAGTCTGGTCACACTGCCTGCATGTACTGTGGGATGGCTGGAGCAAAGGAGCAGGAAGAGAGTGCTCTTCCCTAGGCAGAACCACAGGCCTGCCCTGAGGCAGCTGGGTGGAGCGGGACTAATACGAGCACTTGTACAGGAGGCAGGTTCACAGTAAAGCCCATATGAACAGGGCAGCTCTGAGTGCTTGGCTGTGCATTGCACCTAACTGTGACTTTGGAATTCTTATGCTCCACCACTTTAGAGGCTGCCTGCTCTCCACAGCATGGCAGCTCATTGCCCTTCACTGTGTTGAGCCATCCAGTCCATAGGCTACTGATGGGACAGGAGACCCCAGAGCCAGCAGGCAAGAGTTGTAGATATCAACTACAGTTTCCCTCCCAGCCTCCCGCAGCACACAGTGAATGCCCCTTCCTGGCCACCAACTGCCCCAGATCACCTTTGCACAGGTAATAGGATCCTACAAAGTTGGTTTTTGTTGGGCGAGGACGGATCCTCTTCCAGGTCTTATCTTCCGAGTTCTTCAGCCTGCCCAGCAGGATGTCCCGCTTGCACTTGTGCTCCAAGCCTTCCCGATAGGTGTAATCACCAGCCTTGGGCCCTGCAGGAGACAATAACCCCATCAACCCAGGGAAAGCCAAATCCCAGCCTGGGCCAGCGCTCTGCTGGCAGAGCAAACGCATCACCTGTTTTGGGGTAGCAGATATGACAGGCTTGCTTGAAGACGTGAGTAGCTGCCAGTGGGTTCTTCACTAGCAGGGCTGTGTTGGGCATTACTGGTTCTGGCTGGGACAGCAGCTGCTCAGTGACCTTGGGCACAGTTGGGTGACTCACTCCACCAAGGTTGACCTGAGAGAAAACACATGTACCTCTCTTTTCAGCTCTTCAACCACTTGGGCAAGAAACCTCTCTAACACCCTGCCCCACTCCAGTCTCTCAAAAACCTTTCTAATTTCCTCTCTCATAGAAACGTTTACATCTGAAATGACATTTCCAAAAGAGCTGCATGCAAATTCTTCAAAGAGAACAAGCATTGCGGTATGTTCACTTCAAAGACAGGCCTCTTTCTCTATTGGTAAGGGACCTCAGCTTTCTGTCATGAGCCACAGAACAAAATGCCCTCCTTGCTTCTTCTCATTCCTTCCATCACAATAAGCTCTGCACTGAAAGGCTTTTAACCCTATCTCAACCTGAGAAAAAAACCCAAACTATGTATCAGTAAATCTTCGGGGAGAGTCACATTGATGTTAATAGGGCTAGCAGATGATAGGAACTCAAGAATAATTCTTGCTCCAAGCTTGCTAACCATCCCCTTTTTCTCCAGAACTGGAGACACAGGACAGAGGCAGAACAGTGTATCTGGAGGAGCCTCCTGACAGGGGCAGAGAGCAGCAAAGAACCTCAGTAGCCTGAAGTCAAAGCTGGCTTACTCTGCCCCATCCTTCAGCGTTATGTGGCTGCCAGATACAGCAGGACACCAGCGTCCACGATCCCCTGTTGACCCTACAACCAAGGCCACACCATGTCTACCTCAGCAATATGCAGTTACAGAAAAAAACAAAGATGGAACAAAGGTCTTCCTACTGACTGGGGAAATCTTTACCTGCCTTGCCACAACATGGAAGGCAAAACTCACTGGGGTGGGTCAAGAAGGGGGCCCAAATTACCTACATCACCTGAGTCACTACTACCTTGGCTCCAGAGCACCCTGGGACATCAGCACGAAGGAGTAGCTCACTCACCACGGGGGATGGTTTTTGGCTGCCAGGTGGGTGTCGCAGTTCCTGAGAGCTAGTTTCTTCTGAGCAAAAGAAAGGGAAAAACCCCATAAGACAAATACAATCATTTCACTTTCAGAGGCAGTTCTGCTCACAAAAAGACAAACAAATGCTTATTATATCAATTTGCTTTATTTATTTCATAATATTTTAATATTTACTCCCAAAAGCACCTGTCTGGACTTGGAAAAACTCTAGAAAAGGCCTTCTTGTCCCACAAATCCTACTGAACCTAACTCTATGCTTCTGAGCACTGGCATTCCCAAGGTGGCAACTCGAAAGTACCCCAACACTGAGGTGAATGTGAGTGTTGAAGTGCTGACTGGCCAATCTCTGCTGTTCTCAAAATACTTTTGCTGTCAGTGTACTGCAACAATGGGGACAAGTTAACCAAGAAGAAGGCTGCCTTTCCTCCTGGACAGGAAGGGACTTAGTCTTTGCCCACCATCCTCCCCAGCTTTTCTACTTGTGACATCAGAGTGCAGAGCCTCATTCAAGAGGACACTTGCTGACCTGAATCCAGAGACAGGAAAAACCCATGTCAGCCTCTACCATTCTGCCCAGCATAACAAGGTCCTGCATCATCTCAGTCACCTCAACTTTGTTCACTTTCTGCAAAATGAGGAGGGGGAAGGAATCACGCTACAGTCCAGCAAATTGTGCCAAGGGAGGTGTCCTGGACACCAAGCCAGGTTTAAATCTCACCACTCATCATAATGCACCTGTGTGTTCCTTTCACCTCTTTAAACTTCGCTCTATGCACGTACTGGTTGCCTGGGATTACAACCTACAGCCTTTCTATTACTCCTGAGCTAAACATACTCAGTTGCTCCGTCCAACACAACTTCCTGCTCTCCTCTACATTTATATTCCCATTCTGCCACACCAGCAGATAAAGCTACAGGATGGGTGTCCTCAGCACTGAAGGAAATAATCTTGGCATGCATTCACAGCTAATGCAGCATAAAACACCATCATTCTGCACCTACCAATGGTAAAGGAATCCAAGGCATCCAGCGACCCTCTGCTCGTCCCAAAGGAGTCCAGGGCATCGAGCCCTGTGTCTGTGTAGGGAAGCAGATCCAGGGAATCCAGCGAATCTAAAGTAGAGCCACCACTTCCTCCTGGTGGGGCCTCGAAGGCATCCAGGACAGAGGAGGAGGAGAGCTGCTTGGTGGGATCCATCACCAGGCCAAAGGAGGCGGGTGGCAGAGGGGTGGAGACAGGGATGTTGGCTGTCACGACTGGAGGCAGCAGCGGAGTTCCCCCCGGAAACACAGGAATCAACTGGGGCATCTCAGTTGGCAGGTTGGCAGGAATGGTGCCCTGGACCAGAGACTTCAGGGAATCAGGAAGGAGGAGGATAAACAGCACATTAGGAATGAGGAGTAGAGACTTAAATCCGATGTCCTGGTTTTGGCTGGCACAGAGTTAATTTTCTTCTTAGTAGTTGGTACAGTTCTGTGTTTTGGATTTAGCATGAGAATAATGCTGATAACACACTGGTATTTTGGTGGTTGCTAGGCTGTACTTACTCTAAGTCAAGGACTTTTCAGTTTCTCATGCTCTGCCAGCAAGCAGGTGCACGAGAAGCTGGGGAGAACAAGCCAAAGGGATATTTCATACCACAGAACATCATGCCCAGTATATAAACTAGGAAGACTAGATCGGGAGTCACCAGTTGCTACTCAGGGATGGGATGGGAATTGGTCAGCGGGTGGGGAGCAATTGGATTTTGCATCACTTCTTTCTCTCGGATTTTATTCCTCCCTCTCTCCTTTTCTATTATTATTATTATTATTGTTATTATTTTTATTATTGTATTTTATTTTGTTTCAATTGCTAAACAGTTCTTGTCTTAAACTAAGAGTTTGGATTTTTGGGGTTTTGTCATTATCCTCCTCCCTGGGGAAGGGGCAGGGGGAAAGTGAGTGAGCAGCTGCATGGTACTTAGTTGCTGACTGGGGCTAAACCACGACAACAAAGAGCAACAGGCTCCCACTGAGGTGCATGCTACACTATCTGAAGCAAAAGGATACCTGGCAGCTCAGTCCACCACAGACCTTCCAATCTGTCTATCCTGCAAACAGTCTGGACCAAAATCCCTGAGGAGGTGTTGGGCTACCTGAGCTCATCAGTCCGCAAGGCAGAGCCCCGAGCTGGGCACTCAAACCAGCTCAGGTTGAGAAACAGTGCAGCTGAGTACACACAGCACTGAGGTCAGGGTAATGACCATGACTCGTGGCACCTCCCATCAGGGCTTTTTGGCTCAGAGGCATCCAACGTGAATACGATTATATTGCCTCCAGACCTAAGTTGGCTCACATAACATCAGCAACACTGGCAAATAAAATCCAATGTACGTAGGAATACAGATTGTGTCTGCAGCTTCCAGACCTGATCAAAGAGCATAGGCTGAATGCAGCCTGCACAGAACACAGGAAGATTAGAGCACGGCTACTGTATAAAATACATCTATCATTCCTGCTTCACCCCACTCATTTCTACCCTTAGGCCTGCTTCAACTCCTCTACACCAGAGGCCAGGTAGAAGGAGACGTCCGGGGAAGGCTACCTAGGATACCTTTTGAGAGGCAGCTCCATGAAGTTGTACAGGGCAAAATAGGCTTGGAGGAGGGCTCTTTAGATAATCACAAGCCACTTGCAGAAATAAAGGAAGTAATGAATGGGTTTTGCCAGAGGAAGAGTTGAGAGGAAAGAATTACAAAAAGAGAAAGGCAGCATGCATATCCTCACGCTCCAAGGATCTATTTGGAACAAGAAGCAGGGGACCCATGCAGTGCCCACTCTTACTAGAGGGTATGGTGACCCTTCAGCAAGGGAGTCCAGGAGGGAGTCCAGTTCTTCCCCAATGATGTCCCCATCTGTGAAGTCCTCCACGCTCTCAGGCACTGGCAAGGGTACACAGTCTGGAGATGGGAGCAAGCTGGCAGCAGGGAGTGAGGTAGGCAAGCCCTTTGCATCTGAGTCAGAGGGCAAAGGGGCCAACCCATCATTCACAGGGATGGAGGCGGCCACAGGAGCCGGGAGGCACTGCAGGTCCATAGCGCAGTCTGTGACGAGAGAGAAACAGAGCCAGTCACCAGGAGAGCTTCTTGCAGGAGGCAAGCAGAGCACAGCCTGGCAAAAACACTATTGTACAACTCCACAAATCACAAAAACTAAGTATGCCGACTTTCCGAGAGGAGAGGTTCTACTCTGAAGAGTACTTGCCCTTTCATCTTTGTTCCCAGTCTCCAGTGGCTCACCAATGGCTGAAATACATTCTAAGGGCCAGTGCCCAGTCTGACTGTTGGGATTTGGCAAGCAGTACAGTAACCAGGAACAACACAAAACCCGTGGCTGAGCAGTTACTGAGTTCACTATGGCCAGGACTAAAGGCCAGGGGCACATAATCGGATTTCTCTATAAGCCACCACCTGGTGTTTTCTTTAATGTTCCTCACTAATGCGTTTGGCAGAAATCACCGCCTTCTCTACTCCTTGGAGCTTTGATATCCCAGCTGAAAGCCTGCTTACTCGCACACACCCTCTCTAAAAACCCAGGCAACCTAAACAGTAGAAGATAAAAAACATAAGGCCCTGATGGGAAGAGAGTTGGAGACTGAGTGCTCAGATCATGTTGTGCTATCAGTGTGTCCCCAAAAATCCCCATCAGGCTCACTTGGCTGTCTTTACCCAGGTAAATTCCCTGCTCCTGAGTCCGTCCTGATGACTGCAGCTGGGAGGTGGCTGCCCATACTCCCCCTCAACACCTGAGCAGCAAACATCCCCTTGGGAACTTGTGTGAGTCAGGGTTGGGGCAGGACAGAGGCAGTGATATTCCCTAAGGCTTCTTTCCCTCTCCAGTACACTACTGAAATGGTAAGACGTTCCCATCATGCAATACAAACCCCTGTTAAGTGAAGTTAAGTTACAAGCACATATTCTTCAAAGAAGAGCATTTTATTCTCAAAAAAATTAAAGGTTAAAAAAAAGAAGTTCAAATGTTAGAAATTTGGAAAATGCAGTATTACATTTGCAGTTCTCAAACCAAGCACCCAAACTACCTTAATTCTGCCCCTGTGTAGATGTCCTGGAATAAAAGAAGAGAAATAAGACAAAGACGCTACCTTCTCCACCCACATCCCAGAGGCTGCACTGTAGCTGCAATGGTCTAAGGCTATAAGCAAGGCAAAGTTTGGAAGGAGAGACAATAGGTTTTATTAGAAAGACCGATAAGTTCAGGAAAGAAACTAGACAAGCTTTGGAGACACAAAACTTGATCCAGGGAGGAATGCATCCTGTCTGTACTGGCTCTGCTCACTCAGCCCCCACAAGAACTTGGCCACCCCTTTATAACTGGGACTGGGCAAGCAAGCCCTATCTACAGCACGTGTTCAGTGACCGAGGAATGTGGTGGTGCCTTTCTTAGAGAGCTCAGCAAAGAAGCAATTGCAGCAAACCCCCAAGTCCTGAACAAAACAACAGCAGAGACAACATGCACAGGCAGGCCCCCTTACCTCTAGCCCCACCAGGAGCACAGCACCACCCATTGCAACCTTTCCTCCAGCATTTGTTGCAAGTGGTCCACGTGGATGGACCACAGCAAAGGTCACTGTACAAGCCACTGGAGGCCAAGCTGTGACAAAAGGCAGGGAAAGCAGTGGGAAGTGGCAAGGAACAGATTCAGGTCCCTCTCCACATCCTCAAGCATGTCATTGAAGGAAAGCACATGTTGTACCTTATGGGATCCAACATAAGTTTTCAGTGCTGCAGCTGAATACATTTCCCACAGGCAGCAGCTCAAAGGCAGGCTGTATGTGTCCTTAGTTTTACAACTGCCCCTCGGACCAGGCTCGGCTCCAAGCCCATGCCCCTTTGGGATGACTTCTCTCGGCTCATGTCCCTTTGGTGCAGAACCCCCATCTGCGCCCAGCAGCCAGCCATCCAGCTTCCCTTGGTGACAGCCTCATGGCTGGCAGCTCAGCCAGATTCCCTGCAGTACAAAGGGATGGCTTGTGCCTTCCCATTTTTCAGATGTTTAACTCTGGAGTACTGTCAAGATCCCTACAGAGGCCAAAAAGAAGTTCAGAACACACTGGAAGGGATGTGGACACATGCAGCAGGGAGCAAAAGGGTTCACAATGACAGGGCCCCAAAGGATCCAGCAGTTCAGACCTTCTCTGAGGAATGAATGAGGCCCTCCAGTTTCCATTCAGACCAGGAAGCAGCAAAAAGCCCTCACACATCCTAAGAGGCCCCAAATCCAGAAGAGCTGAATGCACAACCAAAGGCAGAGAATAACATGGGACCCCCCAGAGCACAGTGCATGTGAAGGGCAAGGAGAAGAGAAGGGATCGACAGGTTCCACTAATTGCAAGGAGCAGAGGGGAGATGTCTGCTCCCCTCTCTCTGATCACCCAAATCCTGTCATTCCTTCAGCCACTTCCTCCCACCCTCCTCTGTCCAATCTTTTTTCCTATCCCTCCTCCTTTCCCATTCCTGCTTTCCTCAGGACACCCCATCTGCTGACCTTACTCTCCAGCCACGATACCAACATTTTATGTACTCTCCTTACAGAAAGCTCATGCACCTCCTGCATTAACCTAATGTTTGGTCCATCTTAAAAAAATAAAACAGCTTTCTTTGATGAGTAGCTCACAGACACCCCCCCCCCGATTTCTGCCACTGCCATGACACCAAGCCCCATGTATTATTATAAGCTCAGGGAGGGACTTTTCTATATGCTCCCACCAATCAAGTCTCTCATACCAAGCCCTCCCACCTGGCAGCTTCTCTGGCCATGCACTGTCTGACCCAGAGGGGCAAGTACAGAACTTTTAAAAGGCCAGTTTCTAGCTCCACTTCCCTAGTGCATTAGCTAGCCAAGACCATACTGAGCCAGATCTGAGCCATGATCTCTGCAGGAGAGGGCTGAGTTAATCACATGACTTCAAACGAAATATGGAGGAAAGAACTTGAAGAGTTTGCATCTCAAAACCAAACCAAAATTTCAACAAAAAAACCCCAAACATGCTAAAAAAGCTTTGAATCTGAAACTCTCAAGGTTCCCAGCACCCACAGCCCTTCTGGTGGCACACCACTCTCAGGGCAATGGGATAAAACATAATTCCAGTGCTTTTAAAAAGGTTTCCTAGCAGTAAAGACTTTGTCTGCCTGAACTGCAGCAAAGGTGGCATGCTGCTCTTACACAAATCCTAATTAGATAAAGAGCTTACTGGATGCAGTCACTCTTTACTCTGTAGTAGGAGTCCAGTTCATTTTAGCACTGCAAGATAATGTGAAAAACTCTCCTTAATTCACAGAACTGGGTCTCATGCTCACATGTAGGATTCAGCTGCTGAACTGGCATTCAACAGAAAACTAACATGTTTCCCAAAGCCCCCTAATGATGAAATTAGTTTCTTTCTATAAAAACAGCCATTGCAGTGGTAAGTCATCACACTTACCCTCACACACAGAAGTACCTTCCAAAGAAGAAAGAGGGATGTGCTCAGAGGCACAAGCTCAGTGCTCCAGCACACAACAAAGGCCAACACACGTAGCAAGCCTTTCTACAGGGGCAGAGTTAAGGTCACTTGTTTCCCAGCATGAGAAAAGCAACATTGTTAGCCCTCCTTCTGCTCCTCCTGGGTGCCTAACCCTGAACTCGGCTCTCCCTGGTCCCTCCCAGCCCCTTTTGTTTTCAATTCCTCCACCTCAGCATCTTGGAGTACAATACACACTCAGAGCACAAGCAGTGCCTACAACCTTAACTTCACTTTATCTGGACTGTTTTGTCTGGGAGCAGAGTTTCAGAAGCTTTGCCAAGCACAGCTTCAAGAAAGCACAACTGGAGAGAGCTACGTACCTCAGCAGGCTCTTTTAATTCCCAGATGTGTCCCTCACTGGGCCTGGCCTTTTCTGCAGAAAAAATATTCCTGCTTTCTACCACCTTTCCCTCTTCCTTGTTACCAAACTCAGGAGTGTGCAGAAGAGACACAAATGCAGGGATGAACCTCTCAGGCCTGCTAGCCTGGTCACATACCTTACTGAAGCCACAAAAATCTGAGAAGAGGGATATTTTTACCTGTTTCGATGTCATCTATTGAACCCAATCCATTGGAAGTAGTCTGCAAAGAGGATACAGGAACAGGGAGAGAAAAATATTGTGAGAAATTAATCTTTAGACAGATATCCACACTTCACAGATGGGACTCTTTACTACTACTGAATGCATATGACCCCTTCTTTTCCTTTACGGTCTCTTTCCTTGTTAGAACAGTAAAAGCAACGGACTTTAAGAGGCCATTAATCCAAGGAACCTATTTGTTTTTACCTTCATCCATGTCCAAACCGTTTTGCTGCAAAGGAATGCCATCCCTGCACAATATCCAAGCATTTGAGTAAATCCATACACAGAATAGGGTTTTTCATGTATGGATGAGAACACTGTGTCCCAAGTCCCAGGATGCATCAATCAGTCAGCCCACAGCATGGGAGATCCGATTAGCCTGATCTTACACAACGTTCCTTTTCTTAGTTCACATATTTTGCAATCTGAAAACCACAAACTTTTACAGCAAACTCAAAACAGGAAAATGTTTCCGCCAAGACAACTGCTGACTTGGAGCTCCAGGCAAGAAATAAATTGAGTCCATATTTTACAGAAACATAAACAGAGGTACGTACGTGTGCTTGTAGCTTAAACTTAAAAAGGCACAAGAAAAGCATTTGTTTTGAGATACTGCATCTACTACAATAGTTTTTGCACTACTTTCAATTCTTGCAAAAAGAAAAATTTTCAAATTTAAAACTAGGCACAACCATTAAAGAAAGCTGAGTGGCCTTCATAGAAAGAAGGCAAGACACTGAATCGGGAGAGGTAAACCAATTCTTTAGTATCCCACCTTATTGTATGAAATTACAATATTTACAGTTTTATTGTTTGTTTGCTTTAAGGAGCAGTGTGAAGTACCGAACAGCCTGTAAAAACAGCAGGGGTTTTAGTCTGGATTTTTTTACCCAGTGACAGAACAAGGAAATCTGCAGTTTCTTGTCTTTTACCTTAGCATTTGCACAGTGCCCTGGCCAGTTGGATCACCCAGGACAACAGAAAGAGTACATAAACTGTGTATGTACCTCTCTCAGTATATCACAGGACTTAATTTTTTATGTTTCTTCAGCAGTTGCACTTTCTGACTTTTACTTAGCATTGCTGTGAACTACATAAAAACTTAATATCAAAAATTTATTTAAAATGCAAGAGAAAGCAAATATTCACAATAACTAAGAAAAATGACCATTTTCAGTGATCTAATTACTGACAACAAAAATGCTGTCACTAGAAATATTTTCAAAGAAGTAATTTCCTTGACAATATTCCTTAAAAGTGGAAAACTAATTAACACAGTTCAATCCTAAAAGACAGTTATAAATTTGCACATAAACAAAACTGCAAAGCATTCTAGTAGCACAATCCATAAAGAGTGACAACCACAGGATGCAAACTCTACCTGGTTTGACGAATTGATTGATGTGCCATTACTGAGTAGTGAGAACGTTTCCAATTCCTGCTGCAAGGAAGAGAGGGGTCTTAGAGCAGAATTCAGCCCATGAATGCTCATAAAATAAAAGCCACCCCAAAAGGCTGTGACAAAGGGGTATATGTTTCTTAACACTAAAAAGGGACATAAATTTGTTCTGTACACCTCAGAACATCCAACACAATCAGGAAGCAAAAAAAAATTCCCTGAGGAACAGAAGGTTGTTTCTTTTCATTAAGAAATTACTACCTTGGGAAGGCATTACAGTGGTAAAATGAAAGCTGGAAGACAACACAAGAGATTGAAATGTTATCAAAATGCCAATCACTAAATTTCAAATAATAAAAAGCATTTCAGAGTTTTTAATTTTTATATTTCTCACATACAGGTGGTTGAAGCCCATCTCAACTGAGTAACATGACTGCAGCAAAAAAGGCAGCAAGGCCAACACAGCAAACAGCTACAAAAAGTATTTCTGCTGAAAGCTTCCCTTTCTTTGAGACAGAATCATTTGGGAGTGTTGAGAGCTGCTACAACATCAAGGAGTTTCTTTCAGGGTAGGCAAATCACACGTGAAGTTTGTCAGGGAAAGGATTAACACGTTATAGCCAGATTTACCCCAAAAGCTCTCTGCAAACTTGATGCCCACCAATTGTTCCACCTCATACTACAAAGGTGCCCCTCTGGAGATGGAACACTCTGGTTGTTTAAGACACCGTTGCTCATGGGGCCGAGGATGTGAATGCAAACGTCAGCCTCCACTACAGCTAATATTCCCTACTTCTGACAACAAAATCCATGACCAAGGCAGCTTTACGGGAGAGTGCTAGCAGTGGCCTGACGCCCTCTAGCTCCATCGCAGGGTACACATTTAAACACCTAGAGTACTCCAACTGCAGCAGCAGTTCCTTGCAGAGCCAAGTTACAGATCCAGCCAGTGGTGTTAACTAGCGGACCCAGGACTCGCTTTTTACCTTCTTTCCTGGGATCTGACCAGATGTGTACCTGCTGCTCTCCCAAAGCGCAGGCCTTTCCCCCACCACAAAGAAGGGTACACAGGCCAGCAGCCTGCTAGAGGGTTGGCAGGGTGGTGCACATTTGTCTGTAACTGCAGGGCAGCACCTCCCACTTCTGCAAAAGTAAATCTGCACGAGCCAAAGGATATGAAGAAAGAAATCATACCTGAGGTCTTTTGTATGCTTTTCGAACCCTCAGTCCCAGCTTCTGGGCAAGTTCCTGTCCCAGTTGTGTGACACTTTCATCCTGGGGACAAAACCATTGACAGGACACTTTCAGTTTTGTGGCACACAGAATGAAGTAAAGAGGAATGCAGCAATGCACACTGGGCTGCACCAAGACGCCTCAATTTTTTTAGATGGCAGCAGGTGGGCAATTCCCAGAGCAGCTCTAGGAGAGTCCAGGTAGACCTCAGCATTCTCATCGAGTCCTGCCAAGATGCTGCAGTTGCACCAAGAGCTCTGCCCTACACTCTGCAGAGGTGCAGAGTGAGTATTCAATGCTGCAGAAGATCAGAATCAAATATCTGCTTCCAAAAAAGCACCCACTCTGCAAAAGCAGGGTTTATGAGTCCTGCTGGCAAGATGGCTGGAGGAGCTGCCAAGGCTGGCTGCTGGGGGCTGATACAGCTTCTTCAAGGTCTCCATGCCTGGGAAGGAGCCTGCATGTCTTCCCTCTCTGCCAGCTGTAGAGTTAATAATCAGTTTTGATATACAGATTGTATTCACTAGCCTGTTTTACTTGTTTCTTTGTTTTTAAAGCTGAAACCAAGTCTCAGTTTCCAACTTACTAGCTAGAAGGCATTTTCACTGTCTTCAGCTCCAGTGAAACTGCCTCAGCTTAGTCAAGCAGATCCTTTAGCTTTCCTTGTTGTGTGCCATTTACCACCCTCCCTGCCCAGTGCCCGTGCCCACTCACACACCACCATGGGCTTTCTGCCCACAACCTTCTTAACTTATTTATACCAGCAACTGTTTTCTTCTGCTTTCCTCTCTCTCCCTGTTTACAAAAATATCAGAGTATTTTAATAGTTTCTGCAAAGAAGAAAAAAGTACCTGCCGAACCTATTGTGATATCCCTCTATATCCCAACATTTCCTCCCTCATCTCCAATCATCTCTCTAATTGCCATGCTGATCTTTCCAATCTCCTTCTCTGTGCAGGTTCAGTCCTTTCCCTTTCAATACATGACAAGCCTCTAGTTCTTCCAGCCCACACTCTTGCTAACTTCTCCCTTCAATTTGGAGTGCCATTTTTTGACTGTACGCACTCCCCCACACCCTCAACATGAGTTGTCATCGTCTTCTCTGAACTCAGTGAAGACAAAATCTAACTTGTCCATTTCCTCTTCTAAAACATCCCATACCATACCAAAAAAAGCATACCACAGGGGAGTATTAATTTCACCATGCTGAGAACTTCTGCAAACTAGCAGCACTGAGTATCTGCACCCAGAAATAAGTTAACTCTGCAAGACAGTGAGCCAAATGAGTGGCAGGTCCTTCATCAATGAAGTTTTAAGACAGGCTCTGTTCCGACAACAAAGTTCACAGCAATGCAAGATGGAAGTACCCGTGTGCTCCAGAGGGGAATGGAAACAAGAGTGAGATGATGACTTGCCTTTGATGCAGAGAAAGTTTACGATTTCTGTTAATCAGGTAATAAGACAATGGGGTATGCTAATTTACAAGATTGAATTGTTTAGAATAGAGAATGCAGATCACTCAATATGGAGTTTTTTAGGCTTAAGTTTCCTGCCACAGAGAAGTTTGATAAACTGTCTGTAGACCACAATGATTGTAATGATAATATGGGAGCTATGTAATCATAACTATATGGTTAAAAATTAAATTAAATTAAGTGCTCAACTGCAATGTGAAATATGGGCAGATATGGCTTTTATGTGTTTATATATAAACACATACATTAGATGCTTTTGTCAATAAAAGGGCTCGTTTAAAAAACAGTTCTTCATCCCCAAACATGATACCTTTAATATGTTTTGGTCATCCTGCTCTGCCGAGTCAAAGAAAGTATGTTTTGGTCACCTTGTTCTGCCAACTCAAAGAAACTAGAATTTACAAGCTATACAAAAGGAAAAAGCCTGCTAACAAGGCTTTCAAAGATTGCTTCTATAATACAATAATACAGGAAAGTTAACTTCTCGTGTGGAGGTAGATGCATTTTTCTTGTAATAGCATTACAGAACCAAATTTAGCAAAGTTAACCAGTGCTTACTAGAACCCATGTCATCACAGTCTGGGTTCCTGTTCAATATTTGGCCTAAGATGATGCTCAAAAAAAGTACTATCAGGAAAATGTTTAGGTCCCACTATATGCAGATAGTCCCCTCTTCATTCAAAAATTTACATACCTGTGAACATAAAAATAACTATGACATGTGATGTCAAGGACAGTATTGCATGTTCCTCCAGAAATAAAGACCTTTATCAGCTTGCCTTAACAATCAGTAAGTAAAACATGAGACTTTTTTATCCAAAACAGGAAAACCACATGTTTTCCTTCCAAAGCTCCAATTCCCATTTGTCCCATATTCCTAGCCATTCCCATTAGAGATATAAAAGTAACCAATTAAAACATTCTCATGGCCTCAGTTCACATTCTGTCAGGACAGGGATTTGTTCTTCGCAAATAGGCCACTGAACCTGCTGTCACTAACCCGTGTGTCTGGCTGGCACTATTTGTAAAGTGACTCAGACTGAAGAAACACAGGAGGACAAATATCTTTGAGTCAGAGAGACAGAATTTCTGGGCATAAGCATACTCTCAGGGACCAATTTTCCTCTTCCACTGTCCTCTGGCCTCACACTAAGCATGTTGCCGAGAGGAAGGTTGTGAGCCACAATATTCCAGATGAGTTGCGTGTCAAAAACTTACATGTGGGAGGGACAGCAAGCATCGGCTATTGCACTCATATGCTTCTTTGTGTCTTCCAAGCTCATTTAAGGAGCGGGCTTTCCGGAATAGCGCTCGGATGTTCTCCTTGTCGAGACTTAAAGCCTTCTCACTGTCTTCCAGTGCCTTCTCATACAACCCCTGCATGGAAGAGACCACCTGGAGTCAGCTGTGGCACAGCAGACTAACTCCTCCTTGTGTGTGAAAGCAAACGTTCTATCTCTCAGCAGAAAACAGGAATAGAAATGGCAGTTGGAAGTACATATATTTATTACCTCATGCACAGACCAGTGTACAAACACACCTACATCAACAGAACATTTTGTTAAATCTTGCAAAACTCAAAACACTTCAAAGTCAGTGAATGACAGAACTAAGGCTGCTTGAGCAACCTTATCTTCTCTCTCCCCCTACCTTGGGCATGTTACACTTGACAATCCTTAATTACGTGACCACTTGCTAATTTTCAGGGACTTAACCTCATTCTGAACAGGATGGACCTGCTCTGAGGTTGTGCCATAAAGGAAAGCTGTTACATGTCTTAGTAAAATGGAAGCCTTTTAGAGCCTGAGTATTTCAGAATCTTCTCCAAGTGTGTGCTGAAAGTTCTTTCAAGACCCAAAGCCTTCTTACTGTCTTCCAGTGCCTATTTGAGGAGGCAGGATCCTCCAGAGCACTACTCAAACAGGATTCCAGAGAAATGCTTGCTCAGTACTGGAAGACATTGGATTGTACTAACTCCTCACCAGTGTGGACCAGAACTGCACTGTCAGTACCTTATGCCTGGCCCCATCTCCGTCACATCCCTCCTCTGGTCTCGCAAGACACAGTGCAATAGTGGGGAGATATGAGAGTTTTGTGTGTGTCATCATCTCCTCCAGTGTTCGACCAGGGAGAGAACAAAAATGACTGAAACCTCTCCTGACATCTTTTCCAACTGCACAGCACTGCTGCAACTGTGATGTCCTCCCTGACTCCTGAGGATGACTTGGGAAGGCACTCACCATGGCAAAGTAGCAGGCAGCTCGGTTGACATGCAGCTTGCAGAGGAGTTCCTTTGGGATGGTCACCTCGTCAGAGGCTGCATAATCTGCCACGTTCAGCCCTTCTACATACTGTACCAGCGAAAGCTTGAAATCCTTCTCTCGAAACAAATCATTGCCCTCTGCAAACAAGTTTCTCACCAGCTTCTGCAAAAAGGCCTGGGCAGCAGGGAGAGAACAAGTAGAAAAGTGGATGTTCAGAGACAGGAGAGACTTCCCGATTTCCCATTCCTTTCCGTATGTTTTAGCAAACTTCTTGCCCACTAAGATGTTCTTGCCTTCCCACCCTCATGTAAGACATCAATTTTTTTGGTAAAGAATCAAATCCCCATTCTTCTTGAACAATGAAGTGTCTTCTCCTTTCCCTGAAAGTTGTCATTGTAAGAAGCTTAAAACTTTAAGTCACAGACAAATTATGACAGACAATCCCACATTCTTCACTTTTGGTACGTAAACTAATGGTTGTGCAACAGAACAAATCTCAAGCTCCCAACCTCAGCAAACAAATTCTCCATTACCTCATAATCTTCTTGACTTAGGGGTAACGTGGACCTGAAAAAAAGAGAGAATAGTCTTGAAACAGGCATCCATGAAAACAAGGGCTTTTGTCTTATGAAGAATTCATCTTTCTGGTCCTGTGTTGATGATTTCAGTGAGCAACAACGCAGGTTCAGGAGGCTATTTAACTCCAGCTCTGTTGGCCAAGGCTGTGCCACAAAACTGGCAGTGCTTCTGTGGATAACACCTATACCACAACAGCACTGAGACTTAGGAGAAAGGTTCTGTTCTTCAAACTGGACCATCCAAGTCATTCAGGCTCGAGCCCCATATATTTATTCTTCCTCTTCAAGGAGTAATCAATAGGCTCTAGAGGAATCCTTAGCACTTTTCATAGCCTTTCTCACCTACAGTGCATACGTGATCTTAGTGGTTACAGAATAAACTTTTCTTAGATTTCATCTGATCACCATCAACTCCTTAAAATTAGGTACAGGAAATGTCATGGCTTTGTAAGGAACATTCATGCTGCTTATAAACTTGGATTATCTCTTTTGCACCAAAACAAACCAACAAACGGCACTGCCCCTGGTTCAGAGTTCAAGATACACCCCAGATGCATGAACAACACCTCAAATTTCTAAATAATTTTCTTCCCAAGAATCTTGGGCATTTTTGTAAATGCTCCCAAAATAAACCTCACAATTGCATCTCTGAAATTGAGTTATCAGCCCCATTTAGTCTCAGACTGGGGTGAAAATATTGTGGCCACACCACAAGATATAAATATGTCACATGGAAGATGTGAGGGTTTTTCCTACTGTAGAGGCACAGATTTCAGTGACACTAATTGCAGGATGCAAAGAAGTCCTAAAAAGAACCCAAATCAATCTCATTACTCATCATGGAACCTGGGCCTGAGTTTGAGGCCCTTGCTAACTCAAATATTGGAGGGAAAAAATACTACCGTATTTTATAAGGAAGTATTTAGAGTTTTAACTATTACATAAGCAACCACTTCAAGCTCTAGAGGGCCACATGATATTCATAGAGGAGTGACCCGAGGCATCTACCAGGTTGGCAACTGTAAAAGAGCCTAGGTAATCTGTTTCTCCCATAGGCACCATATGGGGTACCTAACAAGTTATTTACCTTGTTTTCCCCACCTACAGAATTGAAACACTATCTCTCTTCCTAAGAAAGGTGGGATAACCTTGTTGAGAGAGCACTTGGAGATCCTCATGCTGAAGATGAAGTAGAAGGTCCAAGTACTACTAGCATTATGCTGACTATAAAAATCATCCTGGAAATGCAATGGAGGGCAAAACCCAAGGAAATTAGAAAGACAGAATTTAAAGCTTAGGGAGCTGGCAGGACAAGAAGAACTCTGGAAAATCACAGCAAAAATTCTCAGGACAGTATCTTTTTCCCATGCAGAAAACCCAAAGCAGTGAATAGGAAGAACTCAGTTCCTGCAATCCTCAACAGAAAGACAACTGCCTTCAAATCCACAGGGAACATTGAGGTTGTCCACTTACTGAATGAACTGAAGTCCTTTCTCTATTTCTTGTTTTCTCTTCTGTCTCTCCATTATACTTGGCTGTGGAGGAAGAAGAAAAAGAAACAACACAAAATGAGTCATTTTAGGTCTTGCTGGCAATTAAACAGCACAGTATTTTGTTTGTGCCTGAATTTACTACTAACAAAATGTTCCAGAGCAGATGCCCTGAACACCAAAGCCCATGATTTATCCACACTGCAGATACAGAACAGCAAGCAGCTCACTACCAAGTATCTGCTTTTTCTCACATGCCACTGACAGGATACATGGGCAAAGAGGAATTACTTCAATTTGAGCTCTCTACTTAGGCTGTCAGTAAATAAAGCAATGGGAACCAACTGTTATCATCACTGCCTTCTAGGAAAGAGAAAAAAAACAACAACAACATTTTCTCTGCACTGGCAGTCATTTTAGGAATTTGTGCTGAGACCCTCCCATGATAAGCAACTCTGATCAGTGTTTACCTGGGACAGATTTAAACTGGTTTACTGCACAGCATATGAAACAAGTAATCTACGTAAGGTGTATGGAGGTACATCAGTGAGAGACATGAAGGAAGGAGATGGAATTGCTTGGCATGGTCCACATAAAAGAACAGCACTGAATCCATGCAATGAGGATTCCATGCTGAAAACCAGCAGGTTAGAGCAGCACAAACTAGGAAACACTCTTCTGGAGAGGGAAAGAGCCCCATCCTGCAGCATTTTAAAGTTGGGGTGGGCAGTGCCTCAGGAAGGCTCAAGAGAGAGTTATCCACACGTAGTCAGAGACAAATATGGGCACAGTAACTTTTCTGGTTTTGACCAAATCCAGTCTGGTCTCTGCAAGTATGATGGAGACATTTTGGAGTTATGACCTTTTTCTTACCTAAACCAGGCTTGAATCACATCATTAGATACATGATCTTCATCCCTGACCTTTCTCTAAGGTACACAGGTCTGCTACACAAGAAAAGAATAACAAAGGCGAGAAAGGATGACACTTTGTGCCAAAATAGAGTTGCTAGTGACAGCAAATTTCACATCAACCAGCTGCGACCACAAATGCTCAGCATCTGAGGAACAGGAACTTGAGGACAAAGGCAGCAAGCACAGAAACACTGAGATAAGGTGCAGTTGAAGACACTGTGCCTCCTCAGCATGGGATTGCCTCTGAAGAGACCATGATAAAAACTGATTTCTCTAACTCTACACTGCAACAACTTGGAGAACATTATCACCCAGTTCCCTTCGTTCCCTTCACCCACCATCCCTATCATTCTAAGATATCCTGCAGAATCTATGGCACATTCAATCTGGAACGGAGTGAAGAGGCCTTTAAGGTATATAAAAATCAATCCTGACAATTCAGCAAGCCCTTATTGATTGTGCTCTGTGCCACACAAAATGTAGAACTGATACCTGCCCATTACAAAGAAGGAGAGTTGGGGGAAGCGGGAAAGGCAGGAGTGAAAAGAAAGCCCAGAAAAAAGTGGCAGCAGAAGGAAGCAAGAGCTTGAAAGTGACACTGGACAGTTTGTAAGTCATCAGGCAATAAATTTGGGAGCAATCTGGTTCGAGCAGGAGGTAGAAGATTTTAAGCAGCTGCACTTGGAACAGGATGGGCAGCGCAGGAAGAAAGGGAAAGCCAACAGACAAGGTGAGTTATGATCAGCATCTCTACAAAGGCTTTCAACAGAAGTGATGAAAAAGAGCTGGTATACCCCAGCACAACACCAACAGAAGGCCTGGAATGATTTATAAATACCCTGAATCATGAGCAATCAGGAAGAAACAAGGAAATTTAACATGGAGACTTGTGAGGTTAATATGATCACTAATGCTACAGGCAGACAGGTTCGAGGGGTAGAAAAAGAGCCAGAGGCAATTCATTTCATATTTCTCCCTGTATGAGATTCTGCAAATACAGATAAAGTAAGAGAGAACAGACAAGGGGAAGAGCAGCAGTAGGAACCATTTCCACACAGACAGCAGCGAAAGACACAAAAGAAGACAGAGTAAACCCAGAGAACTGTAGGAGAACCTCAAAGACCATCAGAGACAAGAGCAGGTAAAGTCACCATGGGAAAGGACAAGAGATAAACTGGAGGGGGGAGGAGGCAAAAGAGTCAAGCGGACCCTCACAGAAGCTCATGGGGAAAGCACAGGGAGGAAAGAGAGATTTCCAGCTGTCTGGTCCCTGAATATATTGAAAGGCTTGAAGTGCTCCAAACAGCCCCATTTTGGACTCCCACCTATTGCATCCTCTGTCCATAGTCTAGGAGCTCCATTTCAGCTGAGGTCCAGGTATATTGCCTTGTCTGAGCTATACTGTGGGTGAATCTGTCCTCAGTCCTACCTCTAGGGCAAACCTATGACCCGCACCACAGGCAGCTTGTCTGGTCCTGTCTCTGTCACATTTCATGAAGTATTGTGTATAAGAGCCTTTTCCTCCCCCACCATGAAATCTGTCTGTCCAGACTCAAATCACCATCAGAATTCAAATCCAAAGTATTTATATCCCTGCTCCACCTCCTACTGCTGAACTCGTTGGTGGACCCTGGACCCAATTCACAATCACATCTTCCTTGGGACTGTTGATGGACCGTTGCTACCGGCATCTAGTTCTGACTGCACTGTTCAGATATGATGAGACTGTACCCTAGTGAGTGACAGCTTTGCTGGTGACTGTTATCACCTTTGGCTACTCACTTGTCCTCCCTTGAGGAGCAACCCTGCTCTTGCTGTTCCCTGAGCCATGAGCCATGCTGGAGAGAACAAAAGTCAGGGAAGTGAAGAGGCAGCCCACAGATCTGATGAAAATGGAGATTCTTGGTGACTGTGAGGAGAGCAGTTGAACACTGATTGGTCATCACAAAATCAGTGGCTGCAGTCCAAAATGCTGTGGCACACCTTTACAATTGTATATATCCACAGAACAAATCACCACCTCGAAAAACTTCTGATATGCACAGTCTACTTCTCTTTCTAAGCTCAGCTTTTAAAACACTCTACAAGAAGCAAAGAAGAGATCAGTACCTGTTCTCACGGCTACCCTGACCCCACTGCTAAAACATCCCACATAGTAGGATGTGGGCATGTGTTACAATGAGAACTGATTACTGTTGCTTGCCCACAGAGAAGGGTATTCAAACATTACTGACCCAAATCTGGAGTGCAGCCAAAGGACTACAGGGAATGGCTCCAGAACGTCTCCTTTCTAGAGTTACCCAACACTTCTTGCATCCCAGAGCTCCCCTTCTGTTTTTTCTCTCCTCACTACCATTGCCACTGCATCCAGCATGAATAACTCCATCCTTGCTTCCTGTGGATGGCTGACCAACCTCCTGCATCTAAGTCCCACAATACACAGCTAAAATTTGATCCTTGCTAAAAAATCATCGTAAAAAACAACCCTCTGTGTTTACTGCATGCTGTTTACTTTCTGCAGTCCTACCCTCATCTTCAACAGTGAATGTTCTTCAACCCAAAAACCCTCCATTGCCTTCTTTAGACATAAACCACGATGTCCCCTGATCTCCCCTCTTAGACTGTTGCTCCCTGATACTTCCCCACATTCCTCTCTCCTTGCAAGTGGATGACCAGCTTCCTCTGCTAAAGTTCTGTCACACATTCAGGCTTATGCCGCGACTTTTCACATAAGACTCATCTCCTCACAGCAACACCCTCAAAATGCACACCACGTGCTGCCGCCCCAACAACTTTTTGCACACCTCTCAGGAACAACTACCTTTCCCTTTCAACATGACTGCACACCTCCTTCATGCTCAGCAGACCCCTCCCCTGTCCTGCCTGCCACAACCACTGCTGAAGGCTGCCATTCAGACCCTTGTTTTGCTCTTCACACCTCCTCCCCCACCACAGCAAACTCAGTCACTTATGTCTCCTCTCATCATTCCAGCCTCTCCGCCATACTTCGTTCAACCCCCGGACCAAGCTGCACACTCGTTACGCTGGCAAAATCCAACACACAGCAAGCCACCCATTATGGGCAACACTTCAGTTCTGCTGCACACCATACCACAACTACTGCCTAATTAATTTTAAGCACAAAGGTTTTGTTTTCTCTGTCTTATAAATATTTTTAGAAACACAGCAGAAAACATTTCATGAAGCATTGTGTCTAAGAGTCCTTTTTTCCCCCCCACCAAATCTGTCTGTCCAGACTTGTCTACTCAAATCACCAGCAGAATTCAAATCCAGAGTATTTATATCCCCACTACAAAGCTCTTATCCTTTCAGTCCAGAGACATTTATATTTATCCTCTAAGCATCTAAAGAGAACTTTATTCACAGTTCATCAATGAGTTACAAACTATTTGCCAGACAGAAATAAAATGCTGCAGACAGGCAAAATGGTTTTCTTGTCTTCAGAAGAAAGCATGAGCCAGTAAACTTGGTGCCTGAATCACAAACTGGGTAGATATGCTCTAGATAGGCAGATGGGTAGAGATAGTACGAGATGAACAGAAAGATTTGTATTTACCTTATCAAGGACACAGGTTATTCATAACCCTGCCAGAGCTGAATTTGGGCAAAGTTTTTCGTACTGTATTTATGGGATGGCAATGAGTTCACACTTGACCGACTTTCAGGCTTTGACTGTAACATTTCAGCCAGAAATAAGTACACTGAGATGCAAGTGGCAGGTCGTAGAGCTGAGACTGGAGCTCCTGAAGGAAAAGGCTCCAGGATGCACTGATCTGCAACATGGGAGGTTTTCACTGGCTGCAGTTTGGTCACCTCAGTGGTGCAGCAGAATAGGTAGCTGGGCACACGTCAAACAAAGGACAAGCTGCAAAGCCCATTACAAACTTGAGCTCCTGTTCACTCCTGCATCTGCTTTCTGCCATGCCCCACTCCCTGGGTCTGAATGCTGCTCACAGCCAACAGCTCTTGGATTCCCCACCACCACGTTGTGCCCACCAGGCCTTACACCCCCATCCCTCCACACACCAGCCATCCCAAGGTACTTCCATGGCTGCTGTCTCACATCCCAGCACTCCACTAGTGCCACTCCTGCTCCCCAACACCACTGGGGTCATTGGAGTGCCACCAGCTTCACCCAGCAGTATTCACTGCACCCAGTGAATGCAGAGCGAGGTAGTGACAACCCCCTCACTCGTCACTGAAAATAAAAGCAGTGACCTTAAGTTTCCCCAGAAGGGGGACGGCAGTGGCAACTTAAGCTTCAAGAGACCACCCCAGCCCCCAACACCCTATTTTCCGTTCCCTTCAGCCTTGTGCTCCGCACATAACACCCCCATGTACCACAGGGCACCCTTTCTCCTGCCCCCACCGCAGCACAGCCAAGGAGCCGGGAGAGGGAGTTGGGGTGACACTGCCCGCCCCTCGGCCACTTGGCTTCGTGGCCACCCAGCTCGCCCTCCTCCGCCTCATTTGTAAAACTAAATCCCGGGGCTGTTTCCCACACGGATGGCGCGGGCGCCCTCGCTCGCCTCCTCCCCCCACCGCCAGCACTAGGCCGCCGATCCCCGGCCTTGCGTAGAGGCCGCCACTGACAGAGGCGCCACCTCGGCCGGCCTTGACGGAGAGGGGCCGCGGCGCCTTCCGCGCCCCCGGGGCTCTGCCGTGCGCCGGCACCCCAACATCCCCACCACCCCGGCCCCGCTGGCAGGGGCCTCCCGCGGCAGGAGACATCCAAGTTTCCCGGGAAAAGGAAAACAAACCAAAACATACTCTTCCTCCTTCCCCACTCCCCCACCCCCCGTTGGCTTAAATAAAAATCACACATCTCCAGAAGTCTGGGAGGCGGCTTTAAGAGGAAAAAAGAAAAAAAAAAACCGAACCCAAACCACATAACGTCCCCTGCCACCCGGAAACTGTCTAAAACATTAAAGAATTAAAAATAAACAAACAAAAAACACCAAAAACAAAACCAAAACACCATCTTCTTATTTGATAAACTTTAGAAGCCCCTACGGAAGACGCATCTAAAAAGCAATTCCACAAGGGCTTCTCTGCGGTTTCATGGGGTTTGTACCAAACAAGAGGGGGAAACTGCAGCCTAAATACAAACCAGAACACAGATCTCGAACCTACAAACCCCAAACAGGGACAAACACTATTAATACTAAGTTTTCCATATAAACCCAGGGGCTTTTCCCCTAGCTACCCAATTTTAGACTACTACATTTTTTTCCGGGGGGTGGGATTAGGATGTCTGACAATTTTTTTTTTTTGCAAACCCCATATTTTCGGCGGAAGAGGGGTTAGCTTCAAAATCTCACTCGTATTATTTATCACGAGGTTTTTTTTTTTTTTTAATTTGCAATTACACAACGTTTCATCTATGCATTTACTATCTGAAACCCTTACTTTCTAATGAAGCAACATCCAGATTTTCTTGTTTCTCAAGTCCACCCCTTTCTACATACACAAACACACACACATATAGAATTGGTTTAAGACAAAAATAATCCCCCCAAAATAAAAATAAAGAACTCACCTCTTCTCGGGTTTTCCCCCCCACACTATGTATAAACTTTCCTTGATAAATGGTATTGTATTACTAGAGATATTATTAATGTATTATTACTAAAAGTAATAATAATAGTAAGTGCTATTTAATTACAGAAGGCAGCATTCTGCTTCTGGATCGGCTGCCCCTGCAGCTCCCTCCATGTGCCTCCTGATCTCTTTACTTTCATTTCCAGGTCTCGCTCTCGCTCGCTCGCTCTCAGCTGCACCAGCAAGAGAAAATGCCTCCCTGCATATCCTCTGGGCCCTAGAGGCTACCGCTTTCCATTACAAAAATTCACAGATCTTTCCCTTGTGGCTGGTTTTGAGATTCTTTAAGGTGAATTAGGCTTAAAAAAAAAACCCCAACAACAACAACTAAAAAAAAAAAAAAAAAAAAAAAAAAAAAAAAAAAAAAGACCAAAACAAAAGGAAACAAAAAACCCAACCAAAAACAAACCACCAAAAACACCCCCCCAATTCAGCAGTCGACTCTCCATTCTAATTTTAATGCAACATTTTTTTCTTCCTGGTTGTCTTCACTGATATAAAAAATATATCCCAAAAGAAAGAAAAGCTGCATCTGCAGAGGGATTGCATGCAGACGAGTGCAGCAATGAACTGAATTATGAGGCACCCCCCAGGATTATCACATACGTGAAGCAGTGACCCTTTTGCCCACCCATATATGTTTGCTGGATGGGGGCCAGAGCCATTGCTTATGGCAGAGCAATTATCTGCTCCAGACAGACCTTACTTACTCCACCCTGCACTGCTGAGGGGTGTAAATAACATCTTCCGAAAACATAAATCTTTGGGTGGAAAGGAATACACACTGCATGTGTACGTGCGTGTATGTGTATATATATAGATATATATATATACACATATTCATATTCTAGAGTTTTATATTATACATTCTACATATAACCGTAATATATATACACACATGTATTACATATGTGCATATGCACATATATGTTTATTTTATATTTTATATTGTTTATATTTTATATTATTTTTGTTAATTGATATTTTATATATAAATATTTTGTATTTATGTATACACATGTGAGTTTAGGCACTTTTTTGGAACCATATTTTTGCCTTGTTTTCATCCCAAATCCCTCAATATTTCCAGAAAGTGAACTGAATCTCCACAGCAGTCCATGCCAGCAGAGCCCCAGGAACAGAGCTGCTGGTGGGAAGCAAAAGAGGCCCAGTGGCTCATGTTGTTATATCATGGGAAAAGGTTGTGAAGACACAGATACACAGACCACCTTGGATGGGGGGATTCACTCATCTCTATTCAGCTCCTCTATCACTAACTTAAAATAACCTTCTCAAATGAGTTCTATGATCAGCTCCCAGTACAACCTCCCTGGTAGAACAGGTTTTCCTCCCCCTAAAGGATTCTGTCTACCATCAGATTAATCATTTCCAGACTGACACTGGTTTAAATTACCAGCTTTTTTCCAATGTAATCAGTGACATGTTTACTCCTGAGTGTCTCACTTCTCTATTTACAGTGCCCCACAGGAGTGTCACTTTGTGCTTTGCAACTAAGCAACTCCAACAAGATTCAAAGGCAGGTAGAAGGAAACATCTGAAGTGTACTAAACTTGTTTAATATTTAAAATATGTTGAGCAGAAAAGGAAAGACTTTATTATATTGAGTAGGATTGGCTTGTGGCAGCTCTGTCAACACAATAAACTGATAAATGTATGAAATATAGGCTGTGAATTGTATAATGTATAATGACACTGGAGAACACTACATAATGCTCTTCACAATGCTTTATCACAATGCACTTTTTAAGATATTGATTATGATTCAAAGATTGGATCCATGGATAAGTCAATATTTATTTTTATTATCTCTTCATGAGACTTGTTCCCTCTTATTTTTAGACAGTGACACCGTGACAATGAGTAGAGTCTCACCAAGCTGGGCCTCTGGTAGAAGCTTCTGGGCAAAACGTACATTAAATGACAAATCCTGGAGAGGGATAGTTTTGGGTAGAAGAAAGGTGGAGCAGGTCTGGTGAGAGAAAGTAAACACTGGGAGAGCTGATATGTCAAATCACAGCGGCAGCCTCACAAAGCCATCATCAAACGAGGTACAGAGCCCAAGATACCTCAAACCCTGCAGCACCTCTGAAAGAAAACGACATCACAGCTGGATGAGAAGAGGAAAGCTTAAGAGGAGCGGAGGGGAAAGAGGAACAAAACGAAAATGTACACATGATCAAGACTTATGCTGGAATAAGCACTAATTTTTAATTCAAACACATTCATTTTCAAGACTGCATTTTCAATTGAATGCCATGTTGTACTTCCTTCCAGCGCAATTTGCTTTGCCTGTAAGACTGATAGGTGTTCTGCGAGGTCATGATCCCGCATGTACTGCTCCTCTCATGAAAAAACATCTTTCTTTAGTGGTTTATGAAGATTTTTACAGTTTGCAAGCATCATTATCGAGGTCTCATGTGCAGGTAGTCAGCAAGAGTCGAAACACCACAAATCCCTGCTACAAACTAGATACCGAGTTGTAGAAATTACTTTGATTTGTAAAGCTTTTCTTTTAGGGGGAATGTATAGCATATATGGAATCTATGCTACGATGGCACAGTACACCTACATTCCAACATAGCTCCACCTACAGTCAACAACTTTATTCTTGCCCCTCTGGCACAGGTAATTACCCAATATTTGGGAGAATGACAGGGAAGGGAATCAGATGCATTTAATATGGTCCTGTTTATTGCTAAAAATCATGAGGAACTAATAACCAGGGCCAAATTTCTTGCTTATATTTTCTGGATTCAAGCTCTTTTTCAAGATCACACTAATTTATTCCTTCATCAGCTCTGCATATTCAGGCAGCTTTATGCTTCTCACAACCAATCATAGCCTAGTCAGTGCCTAAGTGCTTCTTAATTTTCTTCAGCTGAAGAGAAACTCCTTATTGTTTGTGAGGTAAATGTTGCTTCAGTTTTCTATCTTGTTGCTGTACCGGTATATGGCTTTTATTCTTAAGCTGCACAAAGAAACCTCACTGTTTTTTGTATTCCCCCAGAAAGAAAAAGGCCTACCATGCACTTCCACCTCAGTGCAGTGTGCCAAGTCACCCAGGATCACCAATTACTGACATTCTTTTCTTGGGTCCATGTAAGCATTTGCTGTTGCTTCTTAAAAGCACAGTTGGGAAATTTGTGAGAGGCTGGAAAATGCCTCTTACAATGTTTTGGGATCAAATGGCAGAATAAATCCTGCTTATTACCCACCCCAATAGTGATCTCACCAGGTATCTGGCGCCTGAAATACATCAGTGCCTATAAGTTGCAGCTCGGAGAGAAGGGACTGAGGTGCTGTGCAAACCCACTGCAGTAGCAGGCAGGTTTACACACGGCTCACCTCACCTCATTGGATGTACTTTTGTTCCTATACTCAGAAAGAGAATGCCATGCACAATGTCATGCACATGGAGCTGTCATGCAAACCAACGCTTTTTGCATCCTTAAGCAGGAATGACTGTGCACTCCTGGGTGAAAGCGACAGCATGAGAGGACACAGTCTTAAGTTGTGCCAGGGGAGGAATTTCTCCACTGAAACGGTGGTTAGACATTGGAATGGGCTGCCCAGAGAGATGGTGGGGTCACTGTCCCTGGAGGTGTTTAAGGAAAGACTGGATGTGGCACTTAGTGCCGTGGTCTAGTTGACGTTATGGTGTTCAGTCACAGATTGGACTCGATCTCAAAACGTCTTTTCCAACCTAATTGATTCTGTGAAGCACCTTCTTCAGCAGAAAGGTCTGACAGTAACACGCAAGCACAAAGAGATCTGCAGGGGCCAGAAGGCACGCGTGTCCCTTGTGCGGGCATGCGGGAGCTCCCCGGGCGACAGCTTCTCGAGGCGCGGGCTGTGCAAGGGGCTCGGGCACAGACCCACGCAGTCCCTCCAGGCCGCCGCACCGGCCGCCAAGGGTGGGACTACACCTCCCGACGTGCCCCACGGCCGCGGTGCGGCCCGTCTGCGGCGAGGCGGAGGGGCGCGCCCCGTGACGTCAGGGCGCGGCAGCCAATCCCGGCGCGGGGAGCAGAACTGCCGGCGTTCAAATCCTCCGCCTCCCCCGCCCGCCCCTCACCCAGCGGCCCCGGCGGCGGCGGCGCGAGGCTCCGGCGCGTCCCCGTACCCGGCGGCGGGACCGGCGCGGCGCGGAGGGCAGGTGAGGGCAGGGCGGCGGGGCGACAGCGCGACGGCCGCCGTTATCAGCCGGGAGAGGCGGCCGTGCGTGAGGCGAGGCTGTGCCATCCCATCCCGCGGGCTGACGCGCTGCCCGGCTCCACCTGCGGGGGGCGCTCCCGCGCGCGCCCCGCCCACGCGCACGCGGGTCCCGGCTCCGTGGGTGCGTGTGTCGCGCGCGGCCCGGGCTTCGTGAGGCGGCGCACGGCGGGCACGGGCGGCGGCGGGGCCGGGGCCGGAGCTGGAGCTGCGCTGCGCCCGCGGGGGAGGAGGGGAGTCCCCGCCGCCCCCAGGGCTGGGCTGGCAGGAGCCTCGGGCTGTCACCCCGCGCTGTCTGGCTCCTCCTCAGGACAGCGCGGCAGGGGCCCGGTGTGTTTTCTGCTGGGGTGGGCAAGGTGTTGCCACTACAATATTACTCTGAACTCACTTTATTGACCATCGGGAAACATCCACCTTCTTTACACAGTTTTTAAGTAGTGAGGAAATATGTCTTCAGGCATTTCGGTCATGGTCTTAATTGCTAATAATAACTCCAGACAAGTAACTTCTCTTTTTTTTTTTTTTTTCCCAAAGCTTTCCCTGTAGGAGAACTAGCAGCGAAGAGACCTCTGGTAGGTTGATGGCAGGGTGTGGCTGACGTTTGCAATAAAATATGCTTCAGGATGAGATGCTGGATTTGTATGTTGAGATTAGGAAGTAAAGGGAGACTTCAGGGTAGGAGAAGCAAGGGGGGTGAGTACACCTGTAAAGAAGAACATCACAGTAGAACAGAACTGATTTTTAAAGTAAAGAGAATAATTGAACTAGGAGAACAGACTGACTTCTTTAGATCCTGACTTCTGTTCCTATCTGGGAAAACCTTCAGGGATTGGAGGATGTCCTGTTTTTCTTCTTTCTCACCCTTGGATTGGCAGAGGTTGGGAGGTGTCCACCAGTCTGGTGTCTTTGTGGCCTGGTAGAAGTGGAGTAAATTATGTGAGCATTCTTCTATCGGCAGC